AGTCTATTTGACAAGTGAACGCAAAACACCAGGGGACCAATAATAAGAAGGGAAAAGAGGCCAAAACTCACATGGAACATAACAAAAAACGTAAGCAGAGGTGACTGAAACTGACAATTGAGAGAAAAGTCAACAAGGACGTTGGGAAAGTAAGAAGATGAGAGAAAACCCATCCCACTAGAAACAGCTATTGTTGGCAGACAGAAGCGCTGCCTCCAGAAAAATAATGCTGCCTTATTCAAAGCTTGGGGAGTGGCAGAAATAGACCAAAAGCCCTAACTCACTTGACTGAAAGTAAAAGCAAAACCAAAAAAAAAAAAAAACCCAACCCCAAAACAAAAAAATCAGTGAAAGGCAAGTGAATGGAATAATTTCAATGCTTAAAAAAATATGTTTGATTTTATATACTTGAAATTTTTCCCCAGGAAAGAATTCTCTCTTTCCCCAGTCCACTACCTCCTCTTGGCTATTTTTCTGCCTCTCTTTCCCCCCATATTCCAAGGCGCATTAGGACCAGACTTCAAATAAGGGGACCACAATTCATTTCCAGAGTGCAGAAATTAAGTAATATTGTGCTGAATCAGGCCCACAGAAAGAGGTTGCCCCTTATTTTTGGGAACTATATACCACACCGATCATCTTCTACAAGGAGTAGGAGTGGGTGAGATGCTGCCTTGGCATTCCAGAACCACCATTAATTAGCTAGAAAGGAGTCTTACAAAACCTTGAGCCTACATACTTGCAGATCCATGCTTTGTTACTACTTCATCACAGAAATCCAGTCCGTAGTCTTCTCTACCATGAAAACACCTGTGCTTTATACTCATTTTAAATATAAATCTTGACAATCTCTATTAACACCATTTTGATTTCCCATCCTATTCCCCTTGCCACTTCCCTCTACATATACACAAGCTGTGCTGTCAGAAACTTCTAGTAGCTCCTTTTGCTAGTGACTCCAGTTCACTGTAAGTCAGCCAGGTAGTGTCAATCAGACCACATTAAGGCAATCTATGCCCTAGGAATATGATGACATGGGTTTCCATTTGGCTCCATCCCTGCGCTGTGGCCCTGCCGTCTACTTGAAGTGTTGGTGGTAGAGACTGCAGCATGGGACCCTCTTTTCCCCCCAGGAAGAGCAGCAGGGACACCCCCCCTTCCTTCAGGAGCAGCAGAAGACCCTTCTTTCTCCAGAGAAGACAGTGCAGAGGGGGATAACGCTTAGTACTTAGCTCATCAGCTTCAATATCTCTTTGGTGCACAAGCGAAGCATATTCGACTCTTCTCTGTCCACTCACCCACAGTCCTTTGCTGACATGATGTAGGAGGCTACCACCACGCCATACTAATTTGCGTATAATTAACTCCCAATTGAGATGCATGGGGAAGTTCACCCCTCTTAGGGGCTGTTATTTCAGGCTGTCTGCAGACTCAGGCAGACATCATTGCATTGATTTACACTTGGTTCATGTTTTCAAACTTTTCTCCAAGACCAAGAGGATGGCGGGGTGGGTGGGGGGAAAGTCATAGGAAAGACGAGATTCTGATGTGATCACATGACTCCAGAAGCTAAGGTCTTAGGAACAGGCCTGTCATGCTCATGCCTTATTCCAGTCCTGGTGGCCATGGAAACAGGAACAAAGAAATATTTGGATTATGAAAGATGTATAGTAGGATTAGAACATGTAAACGTAAGCCCTCTGTTTCCCCAACCCTAAATAACAAGCAGGTCTCCTGCCATCTTTTTTTCCCCAAGTTCAATTTATTTACTTCCTTTCCTCACACTATATTCCCTCTACATTCTCAAACTAGTCTTGTTACCTTGCTCTGTCCACTTTCTAACCTTTGGACACCATTCTTTAAGATCAGTGATTAATAATGCAGAGAACATTCCAAATAAGGTCTGATAAGGGTCTAGTACAGAGGAATCATTATTACCTCCATTTAAAACCAAATTCCCTAGGTTACCTATCAAAACATCTTATTTATTTCCTCTGCAGTTGCCACACTCTGTCTCTCCTTCAGATCAGGTCTCATTAAACGTTTCCCCCTTTCCTCCAGGTCCCTTTCCTAGGCAGTTGTGATTTAAAAGAGGAAAACATAATCTAATTGTCTAAACATAGGATTAAAGCCAAAAAAAAAAAATCCAAATTCTAATCCAGGTTTTTACACTGCCACCTTCTGATATTTTAGTTAAGCCATTTAACTTCCTCAACCTCAATAGTCTCACTCACACAATGAAGATAATTTATCATACAAAAGTTTTATTTGAATAAATTAAAGTTTATAAAGCACTTTGAAAATGGGAAGTACTATGCAAGTGTTAAGTTTTATTATTTTCTCTCTAGTTTCTTCCCGCTCTATAAAGCGTAGTAGACAAGCAGTTCTTTTAAAAGTGCATTTTTCTGGACAATAAGAAAATTGATTTAATTACAACTTGGCAATAGCATCTCAAAAGTTTTAGTTATTGGAACTGAGCAGGCAAAATCCAAAACAAAAACAGAAATTGCCACACTTTTTTGTAAACCTTCTGATTCATAAACTGCTAAATCAAATTGTTAAAGCTATATAAAAAGCCAACCATAGCAGAATTAAATCTTTTCAGTCAAGTTTCAGACCAGAAGGAAGTTTTTTCATGGTGTTAGTAGTCCCTTAAAAGAGATTCTCCTTTCAGAAGAGTTTCCTCAACCTTAAGAATTGTGAAGCTAGTAGATTCTGCTCTTATAATATTTTATTTTCATTTGTTTCTATGTGGCAATGGATTATAATGTATCATGTCATTATTTAGGAGTGAATTTTTATCTTGAAGGCCATTTTGGTAATTCTCTATAGCTCCCTTCCCCTTCATCTACTAGTTTCACTGGCCATAAGAAATTCTAAAGGTCTGCTCTCTCCCTCTTGACTCTTTTTCAGCGAATCTGCAATACAAAAATGAGAAGTACCATTTCAGTCTGGTCCAAAGTTAGCAAGACAAGGAAGCAAATTAAAACTAAAGCCATCTGTATGCAAACCCTGACTGAAGATACTTCTCTCTTGGACAAGGATAACCAAGCTGCATAATCTTGAAAGAGCAGACCTCATACCTCTCAGCTGTTCCTTAGACTATTAAGACAGTGATTTTACACCTTAATTTACCACTGTGCCACACACAGACCTGGTGTTCTTGTTATAATTGATAGATCATTTCTGATGTCAATCTATTCATTACACCCCACTGCATCTAAATTACCTATTACAATTATAGCTGTGCAATGGAGCACGGAATTTCTGAAAACTAAAAATGCCAAACACCACACAACACACCAGAATACTAACATTATTTTGTTTGAAGCTGCAAAGCTAAGACTAATTATAATGGTTTATACCATCTAATTACATTGCTGATTCAATCATGAATGTGGAATTACAAAAACTTTAGTGAGAAGAAACTCTAAAAATGGCAGTGTGAGTGCATATTTATTCTGTTCCAAAGACTCATATGTTTACTCAATTTACAAACCAAAAGGTTGTTTTGTAAATGTCAGTGCTGCAAACTCAACCTGGTATCTGAAAATTCAAGCTGTATTCCTTCTATACCATCACTACCGCTGGCAATACAATTCTGCAAACAGAAACTGGATAGACAGAAAATTTCAAGCTATATCAATTTAGACACTTCTATGATATCACCTTCATCGCTGTAGGAGGTGAAGACTAAGGCAGAATAGTAACCAGCTTACTCTTCCATAGCTATATGGTCTTGCAGTGCTAACAGGATCAGGTGCCATTATTCACATAATCACTCTTCTGACTATAATTATACCTTTAACTCCCTTTCAGCTGCTGCTCCCTCCTAGAAGATGAGGCCCCTGTATCTATCAAACATTCTCACCTCAACCTCTTTAGGATAGTGGTAATCCTCATCCCCAGGTAGGTCCAATTCATTATCACTCCCCAACCAACTTTCACTCTGCCACCAGCCAGCCTTTCTGTTATCACCCACTCTTGGCTCCAAACCAGCTCCTTCTGACAATCCCAGGTCTGTTCTCCTGACATAATCTGGCTTCCCACACTTGTTCCTGACCTCATGGTTGGGTTCAGAACCAGCACTAAGAGAAGAGGGTCCATTGCCAAGAATGCAAGCCAGGGATGAAGCAGGCTTTCCTATCCCAGGAAGCTGGGATGAATCAAAACCCCATCCCCAGCATAGCGGGTCTGGCCAATACTACGAAGTTTAGGAAAAAGTAGCACAGCACCATTCCTACCTTTTGTTATTTTTGTGGTGTTCTTGATTTTGTATCTTTGGTACATGGTGAGAAAGGACAGATTTTCCCAACCCCCAATTTGTTTACACTCATTTTTGGTGCTTTTCATGTAGGATAGTCCTTGCTTTATTTATTTATTTTTACATTGTGCAGCACCTAGAGACCTGCTGTGATATGCTCCCATTGTTTTCTGCCCTGTCCCTCAAAATAGCAAGAGAGATGAAAAGTTACAATTGGTCTCTTTGTTTAGGTGGTTGGGAAGCAAACTGACCCAATGTATTTCAATAATTTATCCCCTTTTTGATAAAGGAATAGAGACGATCTGAATGCAAAAATTACCAAACATTAACATCCTCTTGTTTGAATCTGGAGAACTGCAACTAATTATAGTGGCTCACACACTCTAATTATGTTGCTGATCTAATCAGCTAACATCAGTAGAAGAGCTGAATAAATTTGCACAATAGCTGGGACAGACAGTCACACTCTTAATGGGACATAATGAAACATGCCAGCAGATTTAAAGCACGCTTATCAGTTGCATGGTCTACAAAACCAAAAGCCAACTGCAAAGTTCCTTTACCTTCCTAAAGCAGAAACACTAAATTTTAAGAAGTATAAATGCTTCTGACCTGGGCAGATCCTGGAATTAAAACAAATTTAGCCCCTTGGCTTTCCATTAGCTAGTGGTTAAATTCATTATGCAAAAGAAAATATGCAGAGAAGACACAGCTGATGAGTTTGTTTTATTCTTACTGTCAGCTCTCTGTGCACAGTGTGAGTGGCAGGCCTCTTTAAACTGAGCTCAATGCTAGTGGTGTCCTGTTTCAGTTCCACCAGAGATCCATCCTCTGTGACCCCTTCAAACTTTGGAGATCTTCTTAGTGAAGGAGCAAATATCACTGTTGTACATTCTTTATCCTTCTCTTCAAGTCCATTGAAGGTTTCGCCATTCATACAGACTTTTCCATCTACCTGCAGAACAATAAATAAATACTCTGAGGAAATAACACAGAAGATATCAATATCTTCAATATTGTTCAATATCTTCATTAATGATCTGGCGGATGGTGTGGATTGCACCCTCAGCAAGTTTGCAGATGACACTAAACTGGGAGGAGTGGTAGATATGCTGGAGGGTAGGGATAGGATACAGAGGGACCTAAACAAATTAGAGGAATGGGCCAAAAGAAATCTGGTGAGGTTCAACAAGGGACAAGTGGGGAGTCCTGCACTCAGGATGGAAGAATCCCATGTACTGCTACAGACAAGGAACCAAATGGCTAGACAGCAGTACTGCAGAAAAGGACCTAGGGGTTACAGTGGACGAGAAGCTGGATATAACAACAGTGTGCCCTTGTTGCCAAGAAGAGTAACGGCATTTTGAGCTGTATACGTAGGGGCATTGCCAGCAGATCGAGGGACGTGATCGTTCCCCTCTACTGGACATTGGTGAGGCCTCATCTAGAGTAGTGTCTCCAGTTTTGGGCCCCACACTACAAGAAGGATGTGGAAAAATTGGAAAGCGTCCAGCGGAGGGCAACAAAAATGATTAGGGGACTGGAATACGTGACTTATGAGGAGAGGCTGAGGGAACTGGGATTGTTTAGTCTGCAGAAGAAAAGAATGAGGGGGGATTTGATAGCTGCTTTCAACTATCTGAAAGGGGGTTCCAAAGAGGATGGATGTAGACTGTTCTCAGTGCAGCAGATGACAGAACGAGGAGTAATGGTCTCAAGTTGCAGTGGGGGAGGTTTAGGTTGGATATTAGAAAAAACTTTTTCATTAGGAGGGTGATAAAGCACTGGAATTCATTACCTAGGGAGGTGGTGGAATCTCCTTCCTTAGAAGTTTTTAAGGTCAGGCTTGACAAAGCCCTGGCTGGGATGATTTAGTTGGGGATTGGTCCTGCTTTGAGCAGGGGGTTGGACTCGATGACCTCCTGAGGTCCCTTCCAACCCTGATATTCTATGATTCTAAGATCAAGGTGGCATGTATTTTTCATTAATAAAATAATAAAGAATCTATACAATACTAACAATGGTTTAGCACACAATGAAAGACAGTCCCTGCCCTGAAGAGTTTACAGTAAAAATACAGACACTCAGGAGATAGGATCACTAGGAAATCCAGGTGGAGAAGATAAATTTTTTCTCCCCCATAAGTTGTAAATACACTTTTGTGGTCATTAACCTAAAAAGTGTTGTTTTTTTAAAGAGGACAAAATCAGCGTGGTCGCTTAGTCAGTAGGAAAAATCAGGGAATATTAGGGATGGGGAAGCTTCAATAAAAGCAAAAGAAGAGAGAGAGATAGAGAGAGAAACTAATGACTAATCTACAAGTACTATATACATAAAAATTAAGTACAAATTCAGATGCAAGCCATTCCTTGGAACATTATGCTTTAGAGTACTATTCAAAATTGATGCAAAGAACATGAAGGACAGGGAACAGGTCTTTTCAATACACTGAAACATTTAAAGTGGCATACAGTTTCCCCTCACCTCTCAATCTTTCTCCATTCAGCTACCCTTGGTTTACTTTTTTGAGTCAACAGTCTGGGTAGAACCCTCCTGGATAGCAACTCAATTTGGAATACACAACCAACTGTGGACCAAGAGCAAACTGCACTTTCTGCTGACTTTTCCTGTTTGTGTGATCAGTCAAGGCTCTGCTCTGTATGTTAGGGAAATTCATTAAAGGTCCAACGCTGCCAGGGAGTGGGTATTTTTTGTGAGATGCTCAGTGCCCTCAACTCCCAGGGAAAGTAATGAGAGTTGAAGGTGCTTAGCACCTTGCAAAAAATGACCTTAAATGGTGAAAAGCAGATTTTAGTGTATATGTCAAATGTTATCATGATGCAATAAAAAAAGACAACCTCTCCTACCACTTCCATCGTCTGCCCAAGTCAATATTACTCACAGTTTAATTCTGAATACAAATGTTGGCAGGTCTTGAACCCACAAGTCCTCTGGGATTTTGTTGTATTATCTACTAGACAGGTCATGAAAGCTTTTAAAAATAAAAAAGCCAGAAAAAATACTGGCGAGTTAAGCCATCCATTTTCATGTCTCTGTTTAGACTAAAACATTTCTCTATTTACACAGGGAGGGAAAGCAAATGTTTGAATGATCAGAACAGATGCCCTGGTTGCAGAGTTAAACAAACATATTCCCCTCCTCCTGATCTGGAGCTAGTCAACACACTGTCATCATGGCAAAGCATCATAAATATATCAGTGTTTTAATTTAAACAGGGTAAAGCAATTGTATAACAATTCTTTTTTGGATAATTCTTACTGAAATAGATCACACTGTCCTGCATAAAGTAAGCAGCTAAGCTCTGAGGAGACTACGCATGTTCTCTTCAGTTTGTCCATATATACCTGCTTCTTCCCTTTATTTTCATTCTATGAATTTTTTAAAATAGTCAGGATCAGAAGCCAGAGAAAGATCCATGGGTCATGCAATAACAGCTGTAAAATTCAAACTTCAAGAGGCTGATCAAGTCAACTGAGGAAAAATTGAGTTACTAGTTTTATATTTCAGCAAATCCACATGAACCCTCTGGCAGTGAACACCAGAAAAATATATTTCGAGATATAAAATATTAATCTAGCATAATAGAAATGTATTTTGCTTTATACATGAAGTAAAGACACAATCTCTGTTCCAAGGAAATTACAATGGATTCTGAGTACAACAAGACAAGCACCAGGGTAGCCGACATCATGCAAGAAGAGGAAAGGAAGAAATATGCTAATTTAGGGTAAGGGGTTGCTTGGATAGCATATTACACCTCAAGTGTATTAAGGGGGATAGGAACTATTTTTATTTTTGTTTATGTATAGGGAATTAATTTAGGATTAGAGTAGGAGGGTGGATCACGGTTTAGGGGAGAAAACCTTAATTGTGCATTGATGATCTCATTCAATGGTATTTTAAGGTCTCTTTCTTTTTCCATTTGTTAATTTAAAACTTATGTAGGAGAATGCTTTATATTCTAATCACCAGCCATTATAAATCATTATGGTTCACTCAGGTAAATGCTGCCCTGGAGAACAAGATTCTGTCCTTGCTACTGCCACAGAGTTTCTCTGTAATGCTGGGCAAGTCACTTAAACCAGACATTTCACAAGTGGTCACTCATTGTGTGTTCCTCATTTTCTGGGTGTCTGACTTGAGACCCTCGAGTCTGATTTGCAGAAGTGCTGCCCCCACACAGTTGCAACTGAAGTCAATGGGAGCTGTGTTTTGAATGTTTAAAGTGCTCTATAATTTGAAGAACTCTGAAAAATCAGGTCCTCAGCATCTCACCTTGGGCACTCAGAATTAATGAATATTTTACCTTAAATTTCTCTGTGCCTCAGTTCCCCATCTGTAAAATGGGGATAATAATACCCCTTCTCAACAAGGTGTTGTGAAAATAAATCCATTAATATTCATGAAGCACACAGACAGTACAGCACCACAGAAAAGCCATAAAAAAGCTTATAAGAAAATTAATATGTTTGTCTTCAGAGCAGGGTTTGAATAGAGTGAGGTAAAAAATTCAGCCTGAGGCACACAACTGGCATGGAAAATTTCAGTCTCAGTGATTAAAGATTCATAAAGTTATAAGCAACTGAATACAGGGTCTTATAATGCAAGTGTGAGGCAACCTTAATAATAGGCAAAGCTGACAACACCCCCCATTTGTTTTTCTCTCACCACAAAAAAAACAAAATGATGAATTTTGTAATGTATGGCTATGTTGCTTCCCATATGCCTTAATCCTAAATTGCCTTTCACATTTATGAATTCACGTGACGTATGTTGTTGTTCCTTTGACATTTAATTGATTTTGACCAGTGCAAGGCATCTTACCTTAAATGTTTTCAAGACCTGTTGTGTGTTTTTGGGTTGTGCGTAAGGCTTGGGTGTCAGCATAGGCACAGCCTTGGAGACAACAGTTTTGCTTGGAGATGTTTGGCCTGTTGAAACACTGGCTTCCGATTCGCTGATGGGAACAATGGTTGCTTCGATCGTGGCAGTGTATTTTGGAGGAGGCAGTGATTGTTGCCGTAAGTATCTCATAGGATTTGGGTCCTTCAGTGGTGATGATGAATTTGGCTCCACCGAATGGCTTCTTTCCAGAATTTTTGGCATCTCCAAGCGTTCAAGGACAGCTTCGCTAATGGTGAACCTTTCAATGTATTGTTGGAGTATGCTCTCTGCCTCCTCACGTGACCTGGCATTCTTGTAGGCCTCATGCAGCTCCTTTTCTCTTCTCTCTCTGTGTGGGAGGCAACACAAGAAAGATTAATACAGAGAGAATTACCCATGTGCACCAAGCCTGAGGTGAAATTTGGGCCAAATTCTCCTCTACAATCCACACTACAGTGATTATGTGTAACTGTTAGAGTAGCTCATTTCTTTCCTCAGGCATGATGTCCCCACTACAAGCAGAGCAACAGCTACACAAAATACTTGAAGCACCCAGTATTCTTAAATATGCAATTGCACTTCCGTAGAACAACCTACTTCTCTTCCACAATTTCTCTGTAAGTCTTGATGCTTTTCCTTCGCTCACTTGTTCCATCACTGCCACTCAATAATCTTTCCATCTTTTTTCTCTCTGCTTCTTTTTTAATTAGGTCCTGTGAAGCGCTTCTTCTGCGACTTTTCCATCGTGCCAGATCCTATACCAGAAGGGAAGACACATGCATATTCTGAACTTTATAACACTCGTCACAGAAATGATCTGCTTTTGGTTAAGTAAAAGCCTCACAGCTGAACACCTCAATCGGCAGTTGACTACTCAACAACTGAATGACTGCAGCTGTAGACTGATTTCACGTACCTAAATGGCCAACAGTGTAACAATCCTTAATTTTAAAAAAGTGATAAAAGAAATTATTTTTTAAAAATTGGGGAAAAAATGGTTGACTATTTCTGTCAGTGGGTTTCATTGTAGTTTCCACATCTTTGCCAGTTCATTTTTTCCCTATTGGTCATGTCACTAATCTTAATTTGTGATGGGCCTGTTGTGACTTTCTGGTGCTGCAGGACTGTATTAACTGAAAGCATTGAGAAGTCCAGTTATCCAAAGATCAGCATATTCATCTTTAGTCTTCATCCTAATGACTATGGGGAAAACCCTGGTCACTGCAGCATGAAGAATAAACAGATTTGGTATAGAGTGAGTGTTGGAGGGTGGAAATCACAGTAATTCAAGAGGATGAAATCCTCCTTCTGCATCACTGGAGGTCAGTGGGCCTGTTCTTCTACCCCCTGTTGCAGCCTCAGGGTAGTAACTTCCCTTGTTGCTTTGCAACTTTTCCACCTATTAGTTGGTTAGTAGATGCACAACTCTGAAGATTCACTAACTGTGAACAAAGTAGTCATGTGCTGGGGTGACGAAAACCTCACAGAACACAACCCGTGTCATATGTTCCTTGCATCCTCTTTGGTTCATGAATTCAGAGCCTTTTGTGGCCACAGAGGACTATGGAAGAAGATCTGTCCCTAGATTAGGTACTAGAATGTTATCAACAATGTAAAATCCGTAAGGCAATGTTCCAAAGCTGTAAAACCATTTTGCGGCCAAATGTTATACAGCCAAATTTTATTTTAAGAAAACAGCTTGATATTCATATATAAACAATAGGAAGGACATATTGGTCACTCTGACAACTAGTTTAACACCATTACTAAATTAGCGTACAGAACATATTTCAAGTATCTTTAACAAGTTACAGTTTAAAAGAAAAACAGCATTACTACACAGATACTTGTTTCAAACATTATTTAATGAACTACACAGTTTTCTAAATGGCACGTTAGTCCAGAAAAGATGGTTACCTTTCATAACTATTGTTCTTCGAGATGTGTTGCTTTGCTCACGTCCATTCCATTGTGGTGTGTGTGCTCGCCAGTGCCAGAAGTTTTTCCCTCAGTGGTATCCATAGGGAATTGGCTCTGGCACCCTCTGGAGTGGCATGCATATGTGCCGGTATAAAGGGCGCTGCCAGCTCCCCACTCCCTCAGTTCCCTCTTGCCGGATCTCTGACAGAGGGGAAGGAGGGTAGGTCATGGAATGGACTTGAGCAACACATCTCAAAGAACACCAGTTACGAAAGGTAACTGTCTTTTCTTTGAGTGCTTGCTCATGTCCATTCCATTGTAGGTGACTCCCAAGCAGTGCCACCAGAGGCCAATAGAAGTTCATGGATATGTTGATTGGAACACAGCTCTGCCAAATCCAGCATCATCTCTGACTTGCTGGGTGATGGCGTAATGTGTGGTGAACGTGTGTACTGAAGACCAGGTCGCAGCCCTGCAGATGTCCTGGACAGGGATGTGCACCAGGAAGGCAGCTGAAGTCGAGTGAGCCGTCATCATCAGTGGAGGCACAGCCTGCGCCAACTGGTAACAAATACGGATGCAGGTGGTGATCCAATTCAAAATCCTCTAAGAGGACACCAGAAGGCCCTTCATCCTGTCAGCGATCGCGATAAAGAGCTGGGTCAATCTGCGAAAGGGCTTGATGCGTTCCAAGTAGAATGCCAGGGCATGCCTGACATCCGAGTGTGCAGCTGCCTCTCCTCATTGATCATGTGAGGCTTTGGACAGAACACCAGGAGGAAGATATCCTGGCTGACACGGAAGTGTGACACCACCTTTGTCAGGAAGGCCATATGGGGCCGCAACTGGACCTTGTAAAATACTGTGTATGGGCTTTAACTTCGGAGACGCATCTCACTGGGCTAATAGCTACAAGGAATGCAACCTTCCACGGCAAGTGGGAAAGGGAACAAGAAGCCATAGTCTCAAAGGGAGGACCTGTGAGCCTGGAGAGGACCAGGTTGAGGTTCCACTGGGGAACCGGGTCCCGGACTGGGGGAAAAGAGTCTTTCAAGGCCTTGCAGGAATCTGATCGACATCTCATGCGAGAACACCGATCTACTGTGGATGTGAGGATGGAAGGCCAATATGGCAGCCAGGTGCACCTTGATTGAAGAGAAGGTGAGACCTTGGTGCTTTAAGTTAAGCAGGTAATCCAGGATGGATTGCAGAGATGACTGGGTCAGGGAGATATTCTGCTCTGACACCCAGCAGGAGAAATGCTTCCACTTTGCCAGGTAAGTTGCTCTGGTGGAGGGATTTCTGCTCTCCAAGAGAACCTGCTGTACTTGACTACAACAGGCTTGTTCCTCTGGATTCAGCCATGCAGCATCCAAGCTGTGAGGTGGAGAGAGACAAGGTTTGGGTGCAGGAGTCGACCGTGATCCTGTGAGAATAGGTCTGGGTGGCTGGGAAGTGGCCATGGGGCTGCAACAGCCAGTTCCATGAGCATGCCGAATCAATGCTGGTGAAGCCATCCTGGAGCAATCATAATGACCTGTGTCTTGCCCCTCTTGATTTTTGAGAGGACTTTGCTGATGAGCAGAATTGGTGGGAAGGCGTACGTCAGGTCCCCTGACCAAGACAGGAGAAAGGCGTCGGATGGTGAGCCTCTGCCAAGGCCTTGAAGAGAACAAAACTGATGAGACTTTCTATTCTGTCTGATGGCAAATAGGTCCACCCAGGGAGCTCCCCACTTCTGGAAGAGCATTCTGACAACCTCCGAGTGCAGGGACCAGTTGTGGTGCGAGAAGGACGACCTCCTGAGGTGATCCGCCAGCACGTTCCAGACGACGGGGAGGTGCGAGACTTCCAGTTGCATTGCATGCTGGATGCAGAAGTCCCACAGACAGAGGACCTCCTCGTGCAGAGCCGACGATCAAGCGCCCCCCTACCTGTTGACGTAGAACATGGAGGCCATGTTGTCCGTCAACACTTGCACCACCCGACCAGATAGTTGGGAAAGGAAGACACTGCAAGCCACACAGATGGCTCTGAGCTCCCTGATGTTTATATGCGATGCAAGCTCCTTTCGAAGCCATAACCCTTGAGTTCACAGCGTACCAAGATGCGCTCCCCAACCGAGATTGGACGCATCTGAAATCAGGGAGACCATGGGTTGTGAGCTTGCAAATAGCACACCTTCCAACACCAGAATCAGGTCAGACCACAATTTCAGAGAGGTAAGTACCCATGGGGGGATCATGATGACCTTGTCTAGGTAATGTCTGGCCAGGGAGTAGACTGTTGCCAGCCACACATGGAGAGGAGGCAGCCTGAATCTCGCATGTCGAACAACGTATGTGCATGCTGCCATGTGCCCCAATAGCTTGAGACAGACCCGGGCAATGGTGAGCAGATGGGCAATGACGCTGGCAATCAGATCTGACATTGCCCTGAGCCTGGCCTCTGGCAGGAATGCTCTGGCTTGGGTAGATTCGAGAACTGCTCCAATAAACTCTATCTGTTGGACCGGGATTAATGTTGATTTTTGTTCATTTATTGACAGGCCCAGAGTTTGACAAGTGGCTTGCAACATCTCAACGCTGCACTGGACCTGGATCGGCCCTTGATGAGTCAGTCATTGAGTTATGGGTAAATCTGGATACCTCGATGTCTGAGGTAGGCTGCCACCACCAACATGCATTTTGTAAACACCCTTGGCACTGTTGCTAAGCCAAAAGGGAGCAGTGTGAATTGCTAGTGGGCGGTCTCAACTACGAAACATAGGAACTGTCTGTGTCTATGAAACATCAATATGTGAAAGTAAGCATCTTTCAGATCGAGGGCAGCGAACCAGTCTCCCGGATCCTGGGAAGGAATGATGGAGGGCAAAGAGACCATGTGGAGACCATGCAGAAGTTCAACTTCTTGAGATACTTGTTGAGGCTCCGCAGGTCGAGGATGGGGTGTAGACCCCGCCCCCACCACCACTACCCTTGGCTTTTGGGATAAAAAAAAATAATGGGAGTAAAACCCTTTCCCCCTCAAGCGCAGAGGGACTTCCTCCACGTCTCCCACCCGCAGAGGGCCCTGCACCTTCTGAGCGAGCAGATGCTTGTGAGAAGGGTCCCTGAAGAGGGACAAGGAGAAGGATGGAGGGGACAGAAATAAACTGGAGGGTATATCCCCCTGCTACTGTGCTGAGGACCCACTGGTCTGATGTTATGGAGGCTCAGGCAGAGAAGAAGGGGGACAAATGGTTGGAAAATAACAGGGGAGCAGGATCCAGGACACAAGCTGGAAGGTCGCCCTCGAGCGCAGCCTCAAAATGCCTGTTTGTTACCCTGTTGGTTACGGGTGGAGGTTGAGTAAGCTGAGGGGCTGGCTGATGGCACTGCCAGCGCTTATCCCCCTTGCCCTTCTTGCAGAAGGGTTCTGACCGAGGTTGGCTCCCAAACCTGTGGGACTGTTGCGGCTTAAACTGCTTCCTTGCCAGCCCCAGCATGTACAGCCCCAGGGAGCGCAAGATAGCCCTAGAGTCTTTCAGACCATGTAATTTACTGCCTGTTTGTACTGAAAACAGTGTCAGACCATTGAATGGGAGGTCCTGGATGGATTGTTGAACCTCCATTGATAGGCACGAGGACTGCAACCAGGACACCCGCCCCATAAAAAATGGCCGAAGCCATGGTCCTGGCCTCAGAGTCTGCCATAACTGAGACTGCTTGGAGGGCTGCCCTGGCAACAGCTTTGCCCTCATCAGGGATAGCCAGGAATTCCTTCCTGAGCTCCTCTGGCAGCAAGTCCATAAACTTGGCCATCGACTGCCAAATATTAAAATCATAATGGCCAAGCAAGGCCTGATGGTTGGTCACTCTCAGCTGGAGGTTAGACATAGAATAAACTTTTCTACCAAAGAGATCAAGCCTCTTTGCCTCCTTGTTTGTGTTGATCCCGGTTGGCCCTGTCTATCGTGCACATTGGCTGCTTACACAACCAGTGAGCTAGGGACTGGGTGGGTATAAAGATACTCATACCCCTTAGTGGAGAAGTAGTATTTTCTTTCTGCCCACTTGGAGATGGGGGGGCAGGGAGGAGGGTGTCTGCCACAGGGCCTTAGTGATTTTCACCACTCCCGCGTGCACCAGCAATGCCACACTGGGAGGGGGCTGCTGCACTTAGCACGTCGAACAGGGAGTCCAAGGGCTCCACCAGTTCCTCGGCTTCCAGCCCCAGATTTGAGGCGACCCTCTTCAAAAGCTCCTGGTGGGCCCTTACATCATCCTGAGGAACTGAGTGAGAGGGCCCTGCTATCGCCTCATTGGGTGAAGATGATGAGGGGACAGGTACAGATGGGTCTGCCAACTCCATTCCTTCTGCTAGGGGAGCCTCGGCCAACGCTGACTGGCCTTGGGGAGCCTGCTCTGACTCCGCATATGAATCAGGGGGCAGGCAGGAGACTGTCACTGACTGTCTTTCAGATGCCCCCGAGACCAACCTATGCTCCTGCAATGGGTGGGAAAACCCCCAGTGGTTCCACAGTTGCCAAGGGGCTGGCCACTGACGGCCCAGAGGGGAATGTCGATGCCCCTGGTGGGTGGCCTTGGGCTGCAGGCAGGGTCTCCTCCTCTCTGGCTGAGGAGGGAGAGACTTGTCTGGGGGAACAGGACAGTACCGAGGCTGCCTGTCTACCCCGATCCCATCAGCTCTGGCTGCGGACCTCCATTGAGGACCTGTACGGGGGCGATGGATCTCAGTGCCACGATCCTGGTGACTGACGGCGGCATTCGGCAGATCGGCAATGGTACCCCGGCAATCGATGCCTCATGCTTAGTGAGTGGTGCTGCTCCATAGATTGGGAGTGGAAATTGGAGTGAGAAGACCAAGGTATCAGCGACTGTCAAAATGCCTGCAGTGAACCATACCGGTGATCCAGAGAAAGGGCTCCAGGGACTGACATCTCAACCCTCCGGATCGGTGCCGTGCGCTGGAAGAGTGGCTTGGATGCTCTCGGCACCGGGCCTCTGGGGACTGGTGCCGCACCTCTGCGGATCTGCACCAGACAGCAGGCAATTGACACCTAGAGCCCGAGGAACGCTGCCTAGAGTCTGGGGACCCACGCCAGGAACTCTGGCAGGTAAGCTGACCTGTGCCTGGGGGATGGTGGTGCTGCTCAGGTGAGTGCTGACGGGGCACACCCGGAAGCGAGGAGCAGTGCCGCACTGATGGAGACGGCTAGAAGGGTCCCAAGGCAGGTATACCCCTCGAATGGGGCACCTCAGCAGCCAGCATGTGCAGCACCAGAAGGGACAGTATATCCTTAGCAGCCTGAAAGGCCTCCAGCGTGGACAGCACTGCCAGGTACCGAGTGCCTCTGCCACTTCTTGGGATGGCAGGCGGGTCTTGAACTGGGCTCGACAGTTCAGTGGGAGTCACAGCCTGGCCACTGTCTGGAGGGGAAGAGCTGCCCCTTGTGGTTTTTGCTCTCCTCCAGCCCTTTCTTTCCTTCCCTTTATGGGATGTAGAATGCCCCCTCCTGCCCTTTCTTTGCTTTTTAGCGGGTACCGGAGATGGGGATCGGCACCAGTTAGAGGTTGGTGCTGGCGGTGCATTTCGCACTGAGGCTGCAGTGTTTCTAGCAAAGTCCACTGGCCGGTGCGAGGGCCGACTCCATAAGGAGCACTTGGAGACGAAGGTCCCACTCCTTTTCGGTCTGTGGCTTGAAGCTCTTGCAAATGCAACACTTGTAGCTCACATGGTTTCCCCAAACACTTCAGGCAGCTTTCTATGGGAATCACTGACTGGCATGGGTTTTTTGTAATAAGGTTTGAAGGTAACAAGGTTTACAAGGTTTGAAGCCCAGGGACTGGGACATGCCCCGTTCCTAGGCTGAGTCCATACGGGACTAACTATTTCTAACTTTACGCTAAGGGAACTATTAACTACACAACTTTAAACAACTATATACAACAAATTCACTACTAGACACAGAGACAGGAAAGCTTGCAAAGCAAGAAGACATTTCAGCACTGTAACTGGTGGTAAGAAGGAACTGAGGGAGGGAAGGGGCCAGCAGTGCCCCTTATACCGGCACATACGCACGCCACTCCAGGGGATGCCAGAACCAGTCCCCTACAGATACCACTGAGGGGAAAACTTCCGGCACCGGTGCATGTAGCACACACACCAATAATGGAATGGACATGAGCAAGCACTCGAAGACAAAAATATTTTAATTGAATTTATCAGTAAACTATCAGAAGGTACTATAAGCATAATTTACTTTATTAAAAAGAATACACACTGTTACTTTTAATTTATCTTAAATCAGCAAGATACTGATGTTACACTCAGGGGAACGCTCATCAAAACAGTTCTTCATATGATCCACATATATTTCAGTCCATAATCCCTTTCTTCAAATGTGGTACTCTCTTGATTTCCTGTTACTAATTATTCCTGTTGAAGCAGTAAAACCTTTACTTATTTATGTACTCCCAGTACTGCCTGTTTAGAAATTAGTTTTTCCATTAGCAAATTTCACAACATAAACTTTTGAACATAAACTTGCCTTCTCTTTTTGCAAATGGATATAATTTGTTTTAAGTTTTCTTATTTTAAAATCAGCAGAGATAGAAAGGAAGCAACTGAAATCTATGAAACTGCAAATCACTAGCAAACTTACTGCATAGGCATATACTAGTTAGTGGATTCATCAAGAACAATAATGAACCATGAATACAAACAATGTCCTCACCCTGTTCTTACGGTACCAAGGACACTGAATAAGGGAATTTATAGTAGTTCTTAACAAATAATAGAGCTTAGTGTGCAGTATCAAGAGACGGTCCAGGAAATTCATATAGAGTAGCTCAGGGTGCTTTGTATTTCAGCAGTCAGAGTCCCAGAACTTCTCAAACAAAAAAATACAAGTCAGAAGGAATAAATCTTTATTGGGTGTCCCCAGTTGATATGGACTTACACACACACACCCCGATATCAGTAGGCTATTACCATGCTGCATCTATTGCACTAATCAATTCTTAGTTTTATAAGCAAACTGTTTTTAGTATTTATTAAAACTTCTACTAAAAGCAGCCTCTCAAATGTTTAAAAATAGTGTTTTATATATATAAGGAAGTTACTGGAGCAATTGCTTTCGAATGGAAAAAAATCTTAAGAACAGGATATTCAAAATTAATCATTTAGAACCAGTGCTCCTAAAGTGAGTCCGCATTAATCCCTTTGGTGCTGATTTACTTATACACTGTTTCAATGCTTTCTTGAATGTCTGAGTTTACAGTGATTTGTGGAAATCAGCACCAATACACGAGAGCACATACAGGGGGTGTTTTGAGAGGGTTTTTTTTGTGGGGGGTGGGGGGAGTAGCATTCTACTTTTAAGTAAAACAAACTTGGGAGGTAACTTTGTTGGCTGGGATTGGACTGAAAAATGTTAATCCACCATTATCCTGTCTGAGTGTTATAAGCATAACACTTCATTTACGCAGATTTATTAGGACTCTGCCCATTCTGGGCTCCTTCTGTATTGTTTAGTTTGGCTTTTTTGTTATTTATGGATTTGAGCAAGAATTTTTACTTCAGAAAAACAGATAAGAGCATAAGCAGAATTGTTCCCAGGCACAGCATTTTCCAAAGCTTTCCAGGAAGCAAGAGCAGCTTTTTCAAACAGAACAACTCAACAGAGCCTCATGTCATCCAATGCCAGATGAACTGCAGGCTCTTATGCCTAGTGGCAATCCTAATCCTGAAAACCTCACTCCAGATTGTTTTGTTGAAGAGATTACACAGCGAATCTGGATTTAACAGGTTCATTTTATACCTTACTGGAGTGAATACTCTGCCTTGACAAATGCTGTTGTTGGAGGCGACATTATGCTGTACTCACGTCTTGCCATCTGTCCTCATCCTCTTTCAGTTGGTTGTGAATATGCTGTAGTTTTTCATGGCGAGCCTTGCTGTGAGGCTGCATCACAGCTTCATCTTCACACCTCATGTCAAACATACTCAGACTCCTAAACAAAGGATGAACAATAAGCAGATCATTAGTTTACATTGATTAAATGGTTTAAACCTAGCCCACATGAAGGTGCTAGAACAAAATCAAATACATCTCTCTTTGGAAGCTTCCAAAAATCAGAGTATATCAAAAGGACTTATTGGTATCCACATTAGGTCCATGTACAACTGCAGACACATTAGCACCACCTTTCTCAAGTATCCCTTGTTTTTAATATTAGACAGCAACATTTTCTTTCCATTATCACTTGTCCCCCGTTAATAGGGTTAAAAATTTAAGAATGTCTTAAAAATACTCTAATCAGAGCCACTTTAAAATGCCGAACTTTCTGAAGCTCTCTTCCTGAATCACTTTTGAGAAGACACCTCAGATTTCTCTCTCTGTAGCAGAGATTGGATTTTATTTCATAACAAAACAAGAGAGGTTTGAGAGGTACAGTATTATAGGCCGCGTTGCAGGTTAAATGCCAATGGTAAGTAAACTGTGAGAATCTGCCCTGGGAAGTGCATGAAGTATGAATGGTCACGTTATAGTTTATTTTTCATGAAGAATCACAATATTATCAGCAATGAACTATTAATACATCTGTTCTAATAAAGGAAAGGCACAAAACCTGTACAACAACTGCCATGATCTAGTCCACAACTATTTCTTTATATTTCTGTTCTTATCTTTGGAGAGTTAAAAGGTCATAGTTACATATTACAGTACATCACATATTACAGTATATTAATTTTGTTTAAAGATATTCACATGAAGATACTAAGTATATTATTTTTTGAAGTGCCTGGTACTTGCAAAACATTACCTCATTTGTGCCATTAAAACAATAAGCCATGCAGTTCCATGAGGTAATTCTACAGCATTATTCAAAAACCCCTCTATAGCTAGAATGAGCCAATCAGCAGCAGAAGCACAATGAAGATAAAATGGTTAAAACTGCAAGCAACAGTGCACATACTTATTTATGTATACAGTTTAACAGTCTACAAAATTCAGTAATGAAGACTGTTATGTATGTGTAGGTTTAGCTCAAATCTATATCCAAAGAACCAAGATGCAAATTAACCTTTTTCCAAGGAAAAATAAACAAACGTTTTTATAGTCTTCCATTAATGCATAGAGAGGGCACACCCATAATTCCTATCCACACTAATGGAAGTTACCCATAGACACAGAACACACTCTATAACCCTTAGTTATGTACACTGAGCATAAGTTATTATTAAGCTTACTAACAATTTTGAAAAAAGCACAGACAGCTGAGCAGAAACCCTAGTGATTCCCCACTGATTGTAACTTCAGGGTTGTGTTACTCCAGAATGGGGCACTGTTAAATACTAAAGTCTAAAAGGCTATATGGTTTGTGTGTTTGTTCGTTTTATTTAATGAACTAAAGAAATGCCATGCACTAAGGGACATTTCAAAAAATTAATTTGGAGTGTGGAGGATTTTTAAAATTTTAACATGGAAATACTGTCACCTCTGATGATTTACTGCAATTTAAGAAGTTTGTGAACTCTTAGGAATAAGGCCTTAGATAACAGAAATTAGCAATCTGTGGCAAATGGTTCAAAGGAGTTTCATAAGCCTCCCAAGTCCTGCAGACACAAAGAATAATTCTCATTCAGAGGAGTAAAAAGAATCCCCCAAATGCCTGATTAGTCATTTCAATTGCCCGCTTGCCAACAGCATCTAATTCTGCCAGCTTCTCTGTCACACAGTGCTTGGGAATTAAGTTCTGTAACAGCTAGCTTTCCCTCGCAGCATTAGTCAGGTTCTCAGAGGGAGAAGTATGGAGGAGCTGCATCTCAAGGTACTGTGCTCTGTCTGCTCTGACTGACAGCATCACATACAATATCTTTAAGGAAAGCTATTTATCCCCCTTGATGTAGTGGAACAGGTCCCGGATTGGCATGGTCTTCTCTGCCTGAGAAGAATGATCTTGAAAGCAAGGAAAAGAAACCTGGACTATGAACTATTGTTCAAAGATAAAACTTTTTTCTCTCTTCAACTAAAAATGGCCGTTAGAGAAGACGTTCTCCACAGTATTCTTCTCCTCATTTATAATTTAAAAAATAATCAAACATCCCATTCAAGCAGATGGGTGGCATCTTCCATTCAATCCTCTATTAGATGGAGCTAGCTTAACTCCTGACTGCCATGCAACTGTGTGCTGGAAAGAGAATAGGGGGAAAAGAAGGTGCAAAGAAGAGGGAGCACTGGATCATACAAAGTCAAGTACATACTGTCATAAGTTCTCCACCTCTAAGGAAGTTCTGTAGATAGTCACCCAAGTTCTTTCTGGAAGTTTGGGATTCAGTGATAGCAGACTGACCTCTCTATTGAATCTGGTGTTCTCCCACAGACCTGGACATATCACTGCCAAGAGCTTGCCTAGACTACAGATATTTTCTGGTGGGCTGTGTCCTAGCATTGACGTCACTTATTTTCAAGCCTGTTATTCTCCTAATTTAGAGTTGTTCTTGAGAATGGTACCAATTTTTTTTTCATCTGCTTCAAAGAAGCCCAGATACCACAAACACAAATAAAGGACTGACCCAGCTATTTCAGGATCATCATAAATCTCTAGTAAGACAAACCCCAACAACTTCATAGTACACCATTTAAATGAGAATATGGTGAATAACTACATTTTATGAGAAAGAAAATGATTATCTGTTAGAAATGTGTAGACAGGATACTCATCATGTGGCTGCATTATAGTTTTATAGAAATGTCAAGACTCTTTTTTTTTTTTTTAAATAAAGTGAGCTGCCTGCCAGAGTGTCAAATTGAAGTAAACAAGCACATCTCACCTCACATGGGTCTGTCAGGTTCATGGTGAAGCATAAACCTAAAATCAACACTAAACTGTCATGCTACCAGGACGTGTCAGCCTTCTTTTCGGGGGAGATGGGGTTGGTCAGCAGTATTGATGCAAACAGGACGGAGGGGGAAGGGAGGAAAGAGACGTGTCGCAGGTCTGGTCTATACTGGAATTTACAATGGTACAGCTACCTATCTCAGGGCGTGAAAAATCCACACCCCTGAAAGGACATAGCTATCCCGACCTAACCACCAGTGTAGACAGTGCTAGTTCGATGGAATAATTCTTTCTTCAACTAGCTTCTGCCTCTTGGGGAGATGGATTACCCATACCAATGGGAGAACCCCTCCTGTCAGTGTAGGTCGTGTCTACACTGAAGCATTACAGTGGTGCAGCTGTGTTGCTGTAGCATTTTAAGTGTAGACATACCCTTACCAACTTCCACCCTACAGCTAAAATCTGACAGCTCTTATGCCTGGGCCCTTAAAATGAAATGGCTCTTCACCTTCCCCTAAAACACGATGTACTGCCATTACTGCTCTTCACCACTTAATACAGGACCAAACCATTCTCTGTGTCTCCCACCATCTGTTCAGTTGGTGTCAGTCAACTCTTGGGTTGCTGTAGCCAGCAAAGCCTGCAGGGGGAGGAAGAAGCACAGATATTCACACTTCCTCCTCCTGCCCTGAAACAGGCCCCTCTTCTCCACTGTGGATGAGGTTATGGGCAGCATAAGTCTGGTGAGCGGGAGAGAGAAGGAAGGGCACCTGGGGAAGAGAATCTCAGTGTGTGGCAAGAATCTGGGGAGGAGAAGTGAAAGAAAATGAGAGCAGGCTTGTCTTTTTCTGCCAATAGAGGCTTGTCTTTTTCTGTCTTTTTTTCTGCTTTTTCAGAGCAACTCCTCCATAGAACAGAGAAACTCTAGGAATATCCCCACACTGAATTTTCCCCAAACCATTCCAGTGGGGATGATGCTGACCTCTGTCCCCAAAGAAGGAGCTTTCCAGCCCAGAAACCAGCAAGTCTACAAAAGGCTGGGGCATCCAAAGATGGCCCTGCTCCTCCACAGCAGTTCTAGTATCCCTGGCTCCTTGGCAGTTCCTAATGGAGCTGTACTACTAGGGCCTCTACTAGCAAATTGCGGCTTCTCAAGAAACACAACACAGGGTCTTCACAGAGAGTATGTCTACACTGCAATTAGACACCACGGCTGGCCTGTGCCATCTGACTGGGGATCAGGCTGAAGAGCTGGTTCATTCCAGCATAGACTTCCGGGCTTGGGCTAGAGTCCAGGCTCTAGGACCCTGCAAGGTTACAGGGTCCCAGAGCTTGGGAGTCAGCCTGAGCCCGTAAGTCTTCTCTGCAATTAAACAGCCCCGCAGCCCAAGCCTGAGTCAGCTGGCACAGGTCAGCTGTGGGGTTTTAATTGCAATGTAGACATACCCAGAGAGGATATCAACAACCTGGAGCTGTACTGTCCTTCCTACTACCTGGGTGAGGCAGTTAGGGAGATCAAGATAAACGTCTCCTTCTTTCCACCAAATCATATTGTCCTGAGGACAAGGACAGGGAATATTCAGTCTTGCGCCAATGACAAGATTAAGGTCTGATACCTATCAACCCATCAAATCTAGAAAAAGGAGTTTTTATGCCACTGGAAGGAGAGTTTCCAGCTTACCACTTGGACACACAGCATTTGCTTCTCTGGCAGGTCTCAGGGTACTGGGACTTAAGAGCTGTGGCATATTTATGTACAGAAAAGCACATTTTAAAAAGTGTTTCAGATGTATTTTGTTTTTTTTCTCCCTCTGAACCCTGCACTGTTGGATTCCAGCTGGCCAAGACATTTAGCTTTCAGGTGGAAGGATGCAATCAAATTTTCAAAAAATCTCTTAAAACACTGGTAAAATAGTAATCCTGTAAAATGTAGCATATCCGGAATGGATGATAGTGAAGTGTAAAGGATTTTTATCTGCATGAGTTTGGAATAGGGTGACCAGATGTCCCGATTTTATAGAGAGAGTCCGATACTTGGGGCTTTTTTTTTTTTTTAAATATGGGCTCTTATTACCTCCCACTCCCATCCCGATTTTTCACACTTGCTATCTGGGCACCCTAGTTTGGAATGAACAGCATAAGTCATTTATAACATTGCTATTCTCAAGTAATATGACCATCTCAAACCCATGCCAATAAAACCTTCATAGAACACCTTTATGTAGTTTCCCTCCCATATATGTTTACACATATGCATATATGCACATATGTGGGTGTTTACAGACAAATACATTATGGAGTGGCAGAAAACTCTACTTAGCTAAGTACAACCATTTTCCATTGTAAAGACCCTTTTAGCAACTCCAATAACTGATTTTAAAAACTGATGTGGCTTAAAAGTTGCCATATTTATTCTGAGATGAAGAGAGACATTTTCTGCAAAGTGAGAAGGAGATTCACAGTATTTCTGAGTTACAGATAATTTTTAAAAATTCTTAAACTGAAATGCTGATATTTGTCTTAACACATTTGTCTTTTTCTAGCATAACAATAGCATGATACATGTAATTTGCTTTTTTTTAAAAAAAGGAAAAAGCTATGTAGTGTTGATATTTAATCAACAGCATTTAATTTGAGTCAGAATTCAGGTGGTTGCGTGAATTTCTTTGACATGACAAGAATGTAGTTTAGTTATTAGGTGGACAGCGTAAGATGTCCCTAACAACTCATTTCTTTGCTTTTAAATGTTCTGAGTTTCATAAGTGAGGTGATAAGTAACTACACTTTTCACCTAATAAACTTATTTTTAAATGAAGTTTTTTTTGTTTGAGATTAAAATGTGCTTGAATTTTCTTCTAAGCACCAAATCCTACATCACAGCTCTATGCTTAAATTAAGAAAAATCTCAAAGTGAGGGACTAGGAAATCCAATTAAATTGTATAGGTTATAATAGGCCTAACCTGGAAAGGATTTAAGAAATGGTTTTAGGAAGGCATGAGTAATTAGCAATTTAAGGTTTAGTTTCCTAATTAATATTTGGGTATTACCAAAGGACCTCATCTACACTATTTTGACTTTGTTCTTCAACCAATCAAGATACATAGTCACTCCTCAATTTACCACTCCAGAATCAAAACTTCCCAAGATGTTTCCCAGATCTAATTCTAACTTCCTTTATTAGTAATGGATTAGAGGTGATGCAAACCCACAAGTAAAAGAGAAGAAAAAATCACACCAAGTTTTTTAAAGCAGCAGCTGCATATTAGCGTCATGCTGTTTTTTTAGTTCTTTTCTGCAATATGAACACATTGCATTCCACCTTCAAGTGCTTTTCTGAAACATTTATGTGTCAGAACACAGCAAAATGCGTCAACTGCATTTTAAATTAGTAGTAAGTATGGAAAGCATGCAGTTTAAGTTGTTTAAAGCAACCCTCTGAGCATAAGACAACTTACTCTGCGTCATCAGACACAGCAGTTCTGGGGCCGAATCTACAAGACCAAATATAAAATTAGATGGTTGGTAAAAACAGTATCAATTGCAATTAAAGCAACACAGCTGGGCAATTTTCATGTGAACCCCAAACTTCTTCATCAATCAAGTGGGCTGAAAAAGAAACATGCCCCTCATGAGGTTATACAAACAACAAATGAGACTTACCCAATCATATGAAGGAAACTATGTAGAAACAAAACCATTTTTTCCAAAATATAAAACTGGTGAAATAAATTGTGAAATTGTTTGTAGAAAGTAGCTCCTGATGGAGACTATGGTATTAGATTAACTGTTGTATTAGCCAGAGGTACATGCAATTAATCTTGATATAACTCTATTGAAACATTCCATAATACAGTGTTCAGAATCATCAATACTGAAAACAGGTAAAACAAGCATCATGCACAGTGAGTGAGCCACAATATTCCACGTTTTTTCACAAGAGAAAAAAAGTCATCCTTTGAATTCAAACACACCATATGCCAGTGTTATTCACAAAAGTGCATAGTTTGCTATTAGACTCATGCATATGACATGTGTATTTCTTTTGAATATGGAAGAATATCCAGAACACTAATCAGCACCATTACCAGCTTCAATTTCTATTCAAGAAAAAGCAAACTATACAAATCTAAAGTTGCCACACATTTCAGTATCTTGCTTTTTCTGGAAACTCCAGACAGAACTTCTTCCAAATCTGTTTGACAAGCCGTTTTTGCATTTTATACTTTCAATAATCAAACATTTTCTTCCATTCACTATAGAAAAGAAATCAACGCTCCACTTGCAACTATTTTATTTGTTTCAAAAGAGTACAGTACTGACACACAGTGTTTGCAGGCCACCCTAAAATAAGCCAGGCAAGTGCAAAACCTAAATTCTGTAGTGTGCACACACTCTTAACAGGACACAGAGGGCTGCACAACACAAACTGTGATTCACTCTGTAAGAAGCTCACGTTTGCAGTTGTTCGTCTCTGGATGACACCACTTTTTTGTTTCTCTCAGGAACTTTCTGAAGCTGTGAAGTTTGATCTGGGTGAATTTGATCAAGACTATGACTACTCATGTGAATAGTGGAAGCCACATCTTGTCCTGTATCAGGGAGATGTTGTCTTTCTTGCTCTTTTTCTTCTCTGTGTTGAGGCTGCATTGCCAGTCTCTGAGGACTGTTAGCACAGATTCGTGGACATTTTTCATGGTTGATTGAGCCAGTGGTGGTGCTAAGAAAGCAATTTAAAATTTTAGTTTGTAATTATGAGAAATGGTTTATTATATACACGTATCTGACATACAGTCAGATGAACCAGTAAGTAACAAATGGATAGAATTTCACAAGCTAAATGTATTAGGGGCACGCACAGTGGAATTTTGATAGTGAGGTAAGAGCTTGTATTTCTGCTCCCCCAACCTAGAAGGAATGTCAGCCCTCTTTGTTTCATCCAAAGATGTAAACCAGAAGTACCACAGTTTATTTTAACTAAGCTACACCAGCACTACGTTTTTTCAACCTCAAATTACTCTGTCTCCACTCAGGGGACAAGCCTTTCCCATCGTAGCTAGATATAGGACTACGGAAATGGGCTCTTAGGATAGAATCTGGACAATGATGCAGCCATCATTTTTTTTTTTACTCGTGTGTATCTTTTCCTTTTCAACCACAAACTTTGCATTTCAACCACCATCCAGAAGCTGAACAGCAAGATCCCTTCAAAGCTCAGTTTTCAGCTAAGCTTGATTGTCAGCAGGTATAACGATTGTCACCCACACGGCTAACCCTCCACTCCTCCTATGCAGCCCTATCCATCGGGAGCAATGTGCTTACAGGCACCACAGCCTGATTAGAAGGGATCTAGTCCCAGAGTCAACATTTTCTGCTTGGTAGTTGATACCAAGCCAGCCCTGCGCAGCTACCTAATTTATTGAATATAATCTATCCTCCTCAAATCAGTATGGACTTTCCTGGTTCTCTTGATGGAAAACGTGTGTTTAATTATATCTAGATAAATTATAATTAATTATTATTAGTGTATTCCTAGGCTATAGTAATTACCAGCCTGGATCAGATCAGTGATCCATCTAGTCCAGTATCCTGTCTCCAACAGTAGTCAGTTCCAGGTGTTTTATAGGAAGATGCAAGAATCCTGGAAGAACCAATCTACCCGGGGCGGGGCAGTTTCTGCTTAAACTCCTCAGTTAGGGCTTGGTTATGTCCTGAAATATGAGGGTTTCTATAAATAACCCTATCTAGTGTAACTGTGGATATATTTTGGAAACAGAAGGTTATAACATAACTATTATGTTTCAGTGAAACATGAGACTCGCCTCTAAGATGCAATTATAGTGAGGAAAGAAACTATTGGAACAAAATAACTTTACCTCTTCACTTTCTTTTCAGGCTTTACAAGTTCCTTAGTTCCCTCCTGGCTACTCTGCTGCTTTGAAAAAGGAACTGGAAGGAACTGTTTAACACTTGGTCCAGGCTGCTTTAGAAAAGCTCCAGTTCTTCTTGCCATCATGTCATCTCTTCTTGGATCTGGAATTCTCACTTGGTGTTTTGTCCCACCCCTACTTTGGTCATGATCTTTCAGTTTCTCATGGCTCTCATCCCTTGTCACATTGCAGCCCACGGAGGCAGGTGAAACTGTTCCATGATGTTGTTCCATTGTGCAGTTCAAGGGCAAACTGCTGCTGAGGCAATTTTGGGTACCATTACTCAGAAGACCATTGAAAAAGATGGAAAACTAACATTTTTAGTAGCAGCAGCACAGGAACAGTGAACAAGAGGCAACTATGGTGAACAGCAGGACATATGCTATTCTTTTAAGCAAACGAGGAATTCGATTTTTTTATGCAGCCCATATTTACAGGTAAGCAATTACTCATTTAGAAGCCTGAATAAAATCTGGATGAAGAACTATGGGTTGTCCAAAACCCCCCTCCAAAAAGATGAATAACCAGGTTCATGCTAAACTGCAATTAACAATCCAAGTCATTACGTGTAATGAAGAAAACAAGCTGTTTCATGTTCACAGGATGCATTCTTGTAAGTGATTTCATGAGATGAATACATGCCACAATTGGATACGAAATGAGTAAAATGCATCCTAGCTTCTCTGTCTCTCTCTCTCTCTCTTTTTTTTTTAAAGGAGTAGGACAACATTACAGACTGACCCAGTTAGCGTTACACGCAAAGCAAGCAGAAAGCTCTGGTTTTTGGCTTCCATTCTCTGACCTTTCTGCTTTCTGTGGAGTCTTCAAGTCTCTCTTATGAATTACTTCTTTCTGTTGCTGCAGTGGATGATGGGCAACTGACATGGGAGAATATGGCATACAAACCGGGCTAGTCTGCCTCTGAAAGGTTCCCATCCTTCTAGTCATCATATCATCTCTCCAACTGTTTGGTGAACTCCCATCAAGCTCTTCCTCCCTGCTTTCATGCCATTCACTCACTCTGCGTGGAGTTTGGTTCTGAGAGACAATACAGGCAGCCAACTGGATTCCTTGGCAATATTCATCTGTACCTGACCCTGCTACTTCACTAGTAATACAAGATTATTGAGAGCAAGGGGGAAAAGAGGAGACGGATAATGAAAAATTAGTCCACGGTGAAGTGAAACATATGAAAGTGGTAAGAAGAGAGATCCATTTCATTTTTATATCTAATTTTACTAACATTTTAGAATAAATGAACTTAGTTGACTGAACAATTTGCTAGTGGTGTCAACTAGCAGTTTCTTGCTATGATGACAGGCTGAATGATTAGGGAAACTGAAGCCAATTAAATGTAAATTCTGGTCAAAGTGTGTAACTTCTTAGCACTGTAAGTCTTTCCTAGTTAAATGGCAGAAACACAGTCACATAACCGGTACAGCTCACTTGTAACAGGCATACTTCAGAAGATTTCAGAGGTCTTCAAGGGAAAAATAAAAATAGTCTTCAAGGGGAAACAAAAATGAGTATTGCCAGAACCTGGAGTGAAAGCTGCACTATAACTTCAAATACATAAGCAGCCTATGAAACAAAGCCCTTGGAATGCAAAAAAAGAAGCAGGCATAGCTAATAAGATTCCTAATGAAACTAGTGATTTGATACCAAACAGAAATTCAAGTGTGACTCTCGGAATAAGTTTGCACAACGTTGCTCTGCATGACTCTCTCTCTCTTTTAGATTCTGTGAAGGCATCAGATAATTTATTACAGCTCCAAAAATGCTGAACCAGCCTGTGTGCATAAGGAGCTCCTAACTACATCCTGCCATCCTTCCCCATGCAAATCAGCATCCTGCAAGAAGCAGCTTCATTTTGGATTCAGTAATCTGTTTCCTAGACAACGACATTAAATACTGTGACAGGGTCAGGCCAGATGGCTATAGGAGAGTAATAGAAGACAGCTATATTAGCCCCAGGCTAAGTAGGTCCCTTTTCCCTGGGTAAGGTAACAGGGAAGGTTCCAGAACAATCCGGAACCTTCTGGAGACAATTAAGACAGGCTGATTAGAACACCTGCAGCCAATCAAGAAGCTGCTAGAATTAATTAAGGCAGGCTAATCAGGCACCTGGGTTTTAAAAAAGGAGCTCACTTCAGTTTGTGGTGTGCATGTGAAGAGCTGGGAGCAAGAGGCACTAAGAGCTGAGAGTGAGAACCTTGACTGTTGGAGAACTGAGGTGTACAAGCGTTATCAGACACCAGGAGGAAGGTCCTATGGTGAGGATAAAGAAGGTGTTGGCAGGAGGCCATGGGGAAGTAGCCCAAGGAGTTGTAGCGGTCACACAGCTGTTCCAGGAGGCACTCTAGACAGCTGCATTCCACTGGGCCCTGGGCTGGAACCCGGAGTAGAGGGCGGGCCTGGGTTCCCCCCAAATCCTCCCAACTCCTGATCAGACACAGGACTCGTCGACCTGAACTGTGAATTCAGAAAAACGGCCAAGCTGAGGGCTGCCGTGAAGCTCCAAGGTGAGCAAATCCGCAAGACCCACCAAGGTAGCGCAGGAACTTTGTCACAATACCTGGAATCATTTTGTGGCCTGGAGACTTCATTATTATGTCCAATGGTAGTGAGGCTGCAGGCAGTGGCAGATGCAAAGGTTTCATGGAAAGTCTGTGTCTCAGCACTTTCCCTCCCAGTCTCCTCTGTGATTTCACTGTTGGATGTGGCCCTGGCAATACTAAGCTTCTCCCATTTCTGTTGGTCAATCTCAGTCACTGGCCCAAAGTGCACAAACCTCTGCTTGGGGCTAGAAGCCTTTTTGTATGCTCTGGCTTTGTGGCTAGCAAAATCATCACGAACAGCTGCTTCCATTGCAATTTCAGCAGATGGTTCAAGATCCTGGGAGCGTTTGAGGTTTTCCTCACTAGTCAGGACCAGAAACAAAAGGAATCAAAGGAAGTTACAAGACAAAAGAAAAACCAAGAACAAAAATCACAAATAGCCTAGCAAACATCTTAGTGTACACTGAGGGTCTTAGATCCAAAGCCAGAGCATACAGAAGGAGGTGAACTGTCCATACGGGCTGGAAGCCAAGAGATAGCATAATTCCTCCAGAGAAACTGTGGGAAGCTTGCTCTCTCGTAGCCCCTCCTACTTTTTAGGAGTGTAGTATAGGACACAAATACACCCTAGGCACAAGATGTGGATCTACAGCCACACCCAAATCTAATCAGACATCTCCCCATGTGCTGTTGGCCAGTGCTAGCAGACCGCTGTTATTCTCAGGGAATACAGATGGCCATTTAATAGCTGCTTCCTGCAGTGAAGCATTAGGTGTTCCCTATGCCTTCTCCTTAATACAACGCCACAAAAAAACCCACATAAGTTGGCCCTGAAATATTGTGGTGTGAACAGTGAAGCCAAGGATGAAAATGGAATATGAACTCCTTCAAATTTAAGTGGGGGTTTGAAACAAAACCCAGAATCCTTGCCTAACCTTAACCATTCAGGTTATAAATTGAGTCTAAATTGCAGAAGGAGGATATTTTGGATGTGGCCAAAATGTGAACTGAGTTTGCAGGATGTTGGCATCATCACACTCAAAGTTCAACCCTATCACAAATCTAGATGAGTGTTGCATCTCTAGTTTGAGCATGTCTGCAGTAGTTTACAACTTTCCACTCATAAGTAGTACTATATACCACTATTGCTTCTAGGAGATCAAAGGACAGTTAGTGTGGTGGCTTATATTAGGACTGAAATCACCCAATAACCAAGCCAATGAAAAGAATGCCTGTATAGATGACTAAATTTGGCTAGAAAATGGAATGCCTACCACTAGGTAGGTGAGGGGTTGCTATACTTTGCTGGAGGAGTTCCAAATCACTTGCTTCAGAGTACCAGCTGTGTTAGTCTGTATCCGTAAAAAGAAAAGGAGTACTTGTGACCTTAGTCTCTAAGGTGCCACAAGTACTCCTTTTCTTTTTACAAATCACTTGCATGCATTAGTAAGATGCTTGGACTTATTTTGCATATTTGTTAAGCTCTGGTTTTGTATTTAAAGAACCATTTTCAACACCGCACTATTCAAGTAAAAAAAAAAGCCACTTGAGACATTCAAGTAATATTAACTCATATTTCCCACACTGCCATTCCAGCTTCATCCATGACCCTGTAAAACTACATACCTGAGCTCCTCAGACACTTTCAGTCTGTCCCACGTCTCCAAATCTGCTTGTGTTATAGAAGCTTTCACAAACACTGGAGACTCTTGTTGCTGGGTAAGGTTACTTTGAATCTTTCGTTTAGCTAGGTCATCTCTTTGAATATCAGGCACTTTCACCTGCTCTTCCTTCTCCGACTCGGGATCCTGAGACTGCAGGAATGGGTTTTCTTTATGTGTAACAATTTGCCTCGCTGATGCCATATGTACCTGGTTTGCTCTAATTTAATGCACATTACAAAGCAGCAAAAAAAAGCCATTTTGGGGAGTTAGACAATAAGTGGAATGTCAATAATGGCAGTTCAGAGTATAAGAACAAATTGAAACGATGAATAAAATAGAAAGATTGGGGTTTCTTTGAGCAAGCATGCAATCAGTTGAAACTGGGACTGTTTCATGTAGACTACCCTGTGAATTCTAATGAGACACTTTCATTGGATGATTATAGTTTTGAGTTTAACCCAAACAAGTACATCTGGAATCACTGCAACAGTGTTTAGTTCAGTAATGAGGTTCATTCTGATAGTATGAGAGTTGGACATCATAACCTATTAAAGTTATTGTAATTATTGCAAGTTTCATTCCTGAATGTACCAGGGCTGGAGAATTATTATTTTTAAACCATTATAGAGTAATGTCTATGACCTTTGCAAGATTCCAAATTCTAGAATTCTAATGTGGTATATTCTCCAGATGCCCTTCCAAGACATTACTCACATGTCAGAATGCTTACTATGAATGTCAATGTGCCAGATTGTTACTGACTGGAAGGAACATTTTATAAAACTGAAAACAACATGAACTTATTTAAAAAAAAGCTCGGAATGTCTCAGTTGTAGGTAGACAGATGCTAACGATAGGCTTGCTTAATGTTACCTGTATTAGTTCAAATTTAGGATTAAATATAAATCTGGAGATCTAGTGTGAAAACCCACAAATGACAAAATAGACTAATATAAAATAAATATTTGTATTTCGTTCCATTTTTTCATTAGTGGGTTTTTACACTAGACCTCCAGATCTATATTTCTTTTATATACACCCCCCATGCTATCTAAAAATGCCTCATGTAATATCAACAAACAAAAGCAGATATGCTTATGTTCTACAGAAGATGGTTGCTTAACAGAAGTGTCTATAGCATAGTTAACTTTTCTGACACCGAGTATAGCACTGGATTGGAGAGTTATTAACTTGGAACCAATCTGTCTATTTCCAAAATAATGTTAAACAAATTCTGCCACTAATTACATGGTCCCATATCCCATTTAGTTCACAGAGTGCTGTACATGTATAACCTAGCAGAGGATTTGGCCCTTTCTTTACACAGATTCAAAGAATAGTGTTAAATTTAAAACCATATATAATAAAACAAACATTTCCTTATTTATATCACAAATTTTCATTAGTTTATTGAATTTACTCTCTTTAGATTTTACATTCTAAAATTTACTTTTCACTATTTATATTCATTGCCGGACTTCTCTCGCTTTGGACACTGAAAATACGCAGTGTGCTTTCCTTTTTTTAACTGTAAGTTTCTAATCAGTTTCACTGTCCAGTTCTCAGGTTCTAGTGCAATTCTACAATGTCTCAACTGAAAACATTAGAGTTTTTTTTATAAAAAGAAATTTTCCATTACAATTTTTAAAAATAATGGAGAATTTGTATGGATATTTATTTATCCATTATTGAACTTTTGGGCCAGATTTGTCTTAGCTACCAAATAACAGTAGTTCACATAGAATTAAATATTACAATAGACAGAGAAAGATAGTATGCACACCTGGCATATTCCTGTTTTTCCTTCTGTGATGGCTTTTTAACACCTTCCAGTTTACCTTTATCTTTATTTGTACAGGGCCCAACTAAAAACTGGTTAAATGACACTGTAAGTTTGGGCTGATTCAGTCTTGCTCTCCGGGCTGCAAAGTCATCCTTTTCTAGATCAGGAACTCTGCACACGGCTTCATCTTCTGATCCAGAATCCTTCCCTTGATAATGCATCATAGAGGGTTTCTCCTTGTGAAGGATGACGTCTGGGGTAGGTTCACTATCTTCACATATTTGCTTTTGACTGACACAGAGCAAAATTAAATGGAGTTCCAGATTTGGTAAGAGGAAAAATGCCAACATTCATTTCCAGGCCATAAAATAAGTGCTGTTAGTCAGATGTGCTCAAAGCAGCTGTTAGTTTAGATGAGGCCTTCATTTATTTGTTTAGGGCACAATCCTGCAGACCCTCCGCGAGGAAAGCTCTCATAGAAGTCAACTGTAGTTCCAAACATGAACAGTTAGAAGGATCAGGCCTTTACGCTATTATTTTAGCCATGGATGGAAACAGACTCCAATTTATACATTCAGTGGTGACATTATTCTTAGACACTTTTATACTAAAGCTATTTTCATTTACCTAAACTACCAAGCTCGTTTCTGATCATTACTGTGGAATCTTCAGATACCTAGAATTCACCACCTAAACAAGACTGCCCGTTTTTCTGTACCCTGGGCAATCATTAAGACTGGTCCTTTCCCCTTCCCCCCACTCCGCCCACCACACTTTGATTTTTCCCCTTTTTCAAAATAAATTATCTGCTTCTTGCTTTACAAGCAAGCAGAAATGAGCCCCTCTCTCTCTAGACTCGGTGGATTTTGAGGGATAATATCAATGTTTATGTTTAAGCATTTTTTCAATTTTTATCAATTTTAATCTTCACAGTTGTGGGAAATTATGGGGGTGTCAGATAATGGAGAGTGTCAGGCAATAACTTCTTAATTACAGTAGACACAGATTCAGAAAGTTAACATTTTATAACCATTAAAACACAAACTGCCAACCTCACATGTCAAAATATACAAAATCCTTAAATCACTTGAATCAAACTCGAACAAGTTCTCAAGCAATTTTCTTACTTTGCCTCTCTAAATTTTGATGATCATCAATGGAAATATTTTCGTCTGTTTTTGTGTGTACAGTGAAATAGATACTTACCAATAAAAATCTAACCCTTCCAAGCATGTCTTATGAGACACAATGTTGTGTTTTAGTGGTCCATTAATACCTGCATCCTGGAGACGGTGCCTTCAGTCACCTAAGACCAATACTGATGTACTAATAATGTGGCAATATGGCTCTTGATTTTGGACACCAGAAAAATGTTATTTCTAAATTATGCAATATGCTCATACAATTTGAGTCACTTTTTACAAGAGAAGATAATGAAGAATAATTTACATACTTCTATCCCCACTGGAAAAAAATATCAAAAGCTTATTTTTCTAGAAATCACTAGAAAACTAGACATGAAGACTTGAGTGTTGCAAGATAGGTCAATATAGTAATATTACTAGGTTCAAATATCATGCCTCTTATTTTTCATACTGCACACCTTCTAAGTCAGAAAATATGGTAAAGTGAAGACACTAAAATAATGGCAACAGCTCAAGAGTCCACACATTCCCCCCCCCATTTTACAATAGTTAAAATTGTTTATTGTAATTTTTTTAAATTTAAGTTTTCTGAGCATTGCAAACCCATCTTTATCTCCGACTATCTATAGCCCCAGCTGCCCTTTCAGCAAAATGTTAACAGTCCCAATTTAGATTTTAAAACAAAGATGTAATAGAAGGTTTGTGTCCATCAGGCCACAGAATAGCACTGAAAAGTCAGCCAAGCATAGGACCATGAATGCAGGGAAGCAGTTAAAAACTGCCTTTCTTTTCCTTGAGATGCTACTAGGTGTCCAAGTCACTTTCAGTTTTGCATCTATTTGTTGGCACAGAGTTACTGTGCTTCTAGTTATATTGGTAATATTATGCAGTATTTCAGTCCTTCAAATCCAAGGCCACTCAGTGGGCAGTGATCTTCCAAATTCAGTTTTATAATTCCAACAAAAGTTTGGAGGAATCAGTTATAGTTTTATGCATCATAGATGATTCACATACTTGTTTAAAAAGCAGATGCTCTTCACCTTCCTGTGATTATGAATAGTTTAGTATGTCAGTAGATCAAGACTGTTTAGTATGTTTATTTAAGGAAGCTAATGTAGCATCAACTAAAAGTCATCAATGGTTTTATGCACTGTTGGGGTGAGAGCAGTTCTTGCCTTTGTGAAGTAACAGAGTTCAAAGTTCGTTCAAAGAGCATTTTGTGCCCCATTAGGCACTTCCAGCATGGACATGCAACAGGAAATGCCACATTTAGCTCTTTTTATATTGTGTTTTATGGATTAACAATGAACACAAAGGTGGTGGAATCTATCTAGATATCCATGGCACTTATAAGGCTTCATTGCTGTAGTATCTGAGCACCTCACGATCTCTAATGCATTTATCCTTAGTACCAGTGTGAGGTAAAGTATTTTGCAGATAGGGAACTGAGGGACAAAAATACTGAATGACATGCCCAAGGTCACACAGAAAGTATGGTGGAGTAGGGACTGAACACAGAGGTCTCCTAAAATCCTAGTTTACTCGCTAGTACCCTAATCGCTGGACCTTCCACTTTAAGGAAAAATTGAAATTCCTCAGGAGAGTACATTTTGATTGGTAACATTCTGAAGGCTACTCAAGTGTCAGATTGTTTCCACCAATTTCAGACCAGTGAAGGGAATGAAAAAATACCACCACCTAGCCAAAAGCATGCTGTATACCTCATGGGAGGGAGAAGTTCTTAGTCAAATGGGAGGCATTTAGCAATCCAAGTATTTAATGAATGCACAGTATGAGAAGATGTGAAAGGAATATAAACATGGTTTTACTGCCACAAGCTTGGCATGATTACATTACTCGTGGGTGACAGAGCCATGTGAGCTATGTAGGTTTTCCCAAAGGAGCAACAATACAATTTATACTACATTACAATATCACAATTTATTTTTGGGCTGCATGGGTAGAGGAAAGTTCTTTGTATTTAAATGCTGTTATCTTCCTTTAGATACTACAGAAGCAGCAATGGGTGAAGTGGAGTTATACTCACAAGTGCATAATAAAATAAATTTATACCATGCCTTGCGAAATGCAGGAGTCCCCATAACATTTATTACGACCACCTCTATCAGTGGTATTTTAAATGTTCGGACGGAACCCAAATTCCAGTCAAGGGGTCTCACTGAGGGTCCCTCCAACTTAACCCACCTCATTTTCTTCCCTCCATCAGTCTCCCTGAATTATTTTCAGATAAAGAAGTAAGCCCTTGTTGGGGGATCCAGAAGCAGTATTTTCAGAAAATGATTTCCAATGTACATACCATTTGGTAAAAACTGGGAATTCCCAGACAAAAAGTTTGATTGCACCCCAGAAGGGAGGATGGGCAAAGAAAACCCACCAACCAATTGTTACAGAATGCCTCCAGCTCCTCATGCCTCACCTCCAGCTCTCCCCCTCAATCCAGACGGACTTTAGAAAGTCAGGTCCCTGCCCCAAAGAGTTTACAATATAAAAAGACAGACAGACCGACCAATACACAAAAGGGTACAAGGTGTAAGTGAAATGGTCAAGGTGTTTGGCCACATTTTGATAACACAATTTATCATTATCTACAGGATCATAAGCTCCTTGGGGCAGGGACTGTCCAGCATGTTGGGTCCTGGTCCATGACTAGGGCTCTTAGGTGCTCGGGTAATACAAATAAATAGTAATAGGCTGTGAATGAGCAACACATTTAAATACTTGCTTAAGTGCTAGCTAGACTGGGGCCAGGTATCCCCAATGCCCTCCAGGTTTGACATTAATGAGGTAATATCTTGTAGGTATCACAGTGGATTTGGGTCATCAGAGGACTGGAATATGGAAAGGCTGGTGCCTTGCATACCAGCTCAGAAAGAGTTTTCATGGGTAAAAAATAGTGTGGAAAAAAAACAGAGTTGTGGGAGAAACATGTAGGCTGGCATCATGGGCAGAGCAGAAGGGATGGGGGGATGTGATACATGAAGGGGGGCGGGGGAAGAGAGTAGCTCCCTTTGATGGACACCCAGCTTGCCAGTTAGTTGTAAAATCCCTCTTGGTCTGTTCTCTGCTTGCTTTACCTGTAAAGGGTTAACAAGCCCACAGGTAAAAGAAAAGGAGTGGGCACCTGGCCAAAAGAGCCAATGGGAAGGTAAAACTTTTTGAAATTGGGAAAGAAACTTTCTCTTTCTCTGTTGTTCTCTAGGCTGCAGGGACGGAGCAGCAATGCTGTGTAAGGCTTGAACCAGGTATGAAAATTATTGAACCAGAAGAAATTATTTGGATAGGGAATGTTTAGACAGACACAATCAGGTTTATTTTTTATTTTGGCTTGTGGATCTCCTTTGTGCTAACCCCTGATGCTTTTGTTTGCTTGTAACCTTTAAGCTGAACCCCCCGAGAAGCTAGTTTGGGTGCTTAATTTTTGGAATTGTTTCTTTTAAGATCTAGCAAAAAGGCTAAGTTCCAGATGTAATTTTTTCCTTTTTGTTTTTAATAAAATTGACTTTTTTAAAAAAACAGGATTGGATTTTTGGTGTCCTAAGAGGTTTGTGCGTGTTCGATTAGCTGGTAGCCACAGCTAATTTCCTTAGTTTTCTTTCTCAGCTCTTCCCCGGCCGGGGGGGCAGAGAGGAGGGGAATGAAAGGGCTTAAGGGTACCCCACAGGAAGGAATTCCCAAGTGCTCCTTCCTGGGTTCAAAGGGTTTTTTTGGTTTGATTTGGTTTGGTTTTGCATTTGGGTGGTAGCAGCGTTTACCAAGCCAAGGTCAGAGAAAAGCTGTAACCTTGGGAGTGTAATACAAGCCTGGAGTGGCAAGTATTAATTTTTAAAATCCTTGCTGGCCCCCACTTCTGCACTCAGAGTGACAGAGTGGGGATTCAGCCTTGACAGGGGAAAAGCAAAGAGAAACCAGAATAGGTAAGTACTGAGGAGCAGAGTTATGTAGGTCCTTGAATGATAGGACAAGAATCTTGAACTTGATGTAGAGGAGAAAGGAGAGCCAATGGAGGAAGGGGAGTCAAAGGAGTGATTCAAAGATGGGGCAACAATGAACAGAAAGATGACAAAGTCGACCCCTCTCCCTCGCTTTACCCTGAAGTCTGCGCCATCTCTCCTCCTTCTCCATTCTCCCTTTCCCACTCACACTTGCTGTAACAAATTTCTCCCTATAGCTCTGCACCTTCATTCCCCTTTCTCCTGCCTCACTAGGCCCAAAGATCTTCTCCCAGTGTTAAGAGGGAAACTGCAGCAAGACTGAGCTTCTCCTGCAAGCTTGGTTCTTTGCACCTCATCTGTTTAGCTGGTATAGAGAGTCATTAGTTCCTCTGAACACCCATGCTGCGATCTGTAGAAATTGCACCTGGTTGACAAGTTAGAGAGCTTCTTCTGGTGGGAGCAGGGAACAAAAATCACTAATTATTGTTGTTCCTCTTTCCTCCTGCCAAAGTAGCACAAAGGCACTTTGTGAAAGGAGGAGATCAGAATCCCTGCTGAACCATATGCTTGTTTACATGTGCATCTGTCTTGGAGATTAAAATCAGTAAATCAAAGCAAGATTGGAGCAGGGGGCTGACAGCCAAAGGTTGTAAGTATCCTCCAAAAATAATACATGGTCTATAAATATTGTTTGTTACACCTTGGATTGCCAAACACAATACTATTGTCTTGGACTCAGATATGCTTGCATTATTATCCTTCTGGTTTATGAACTACTGACCGGCGGCCTGCAATTAACTGAGGCAGGATGAGGCTGTGATTTATGACTGATCACAAATTCTTTTTATTAGTATTTTGGCTCATGTCCTAGGGTAGCACTTAGTTTGTCTGTTACCTTGTATAGCTCTTCAGTGCCTTGGCTAATACATGCATTGGTTATGATGTGTATTACTGATATACAAAACGTATGTTATTGCTTGTAATAAGACAGCATACCTTTAGAACAATAAAACAAGACTGAAGCAGAAAATACACACACATACTTACTTTGATTTGATTATTTAACTGCATTTGACAAGTCCATCCATTATCAGACTTTTGAAATAATGAAAGGGAAATAACCAACTTAAGTAAAACCAAAAAACAAACAATGCCGGTGAAATGATGAATAAATATGGCCATTCTGTGCATAGCTATAGTCAAAGAATGACTGCTGAACTATATCGACATGCTTTACTTGGTGCAGGTGTTAACAAGCAATGCATTTTTATAGTTCCTGTCTTTAAAATAAAATACATCCTTTAATATAATTATTAAAAATACTAAACACTTATATTTTTAAGTGTGATTCAGCCACTTGTCCCTGAAATGTTCCATCACTAAGAAGAGTATTAAAGAATTTCTAGAACCGTTGTCCAAACAAGGAATCACGTCGTAAAACAGGTTTGGGTTTTTTGTGAACGTAAGATGGTATAAAATGGAAGATTTACAAGCTTGAAAATGTTCTTGGTAGTTTTTGTCTCTTGAACTTCGTTTCCATCCAAGTTAGGGCGTAGCACTATTACTAATTGCAGCAAAACACATTTAACACCATCTAGCTTTGCAATGCGTGATTACCATGTCACAAGCTTTTCCATACCTAAACCTTTTCTAATATCTAATTAGTTGCAAGTGAATCAGCAGAAAATGCAAGTGCTTAGTAGATTTGATTTTTTTTTTTTTTTTTTTTTGGTTATGAGAAGTGAAGTAATGGCAGAATGAGACAAACCCACACACTCGCAAAATTTGAAATGTGAAGCGTGCACAATATCACACACTTTTGAGCTAACCTGCCATAGCGTTGTGCTGCTGGCATGACCTTAATACCAGCTTGTTCAAGCCTTCTTAACTTTCTGATCTCCTCTGCATCTTTCTCTTTACACTTGTGCACTGAAGTTTCTTTGGCACTACCTGAAGGAAACTGACCTATGGTCTCTCCTTTATTTTGATTCAAATCTACTTGACTTTTACTGGGGTTTGTCCTGGAAGCCATGCATCCCACCTGCTCCTCTTCATGTCGTCTTGGTGCCTCACTTTGTTCTTCTTCTATGGTTTCAGGGTGGTTTTTGCTATTGAGTTATACAAGGTAGTTTACTGTACAGTACACTGCATTCTTTATACATTTTGCTTGATACTAACATTTCAAACAATATTTTGATGAATGGCACAGAAGCCTAATCATACTATCTAGTGCAGGCTATTCTGAAACCAAATTAAAACAAAACACCTGATGTAAAATCTGGGAAATCTTAGAGCACATTTATGTACTAAACTAAATTTATGTAACTGATGCACAATAGATATATTTTCAGAATTCACGAACAGAAAGATGGTAACTATTTTGACTAATATATATCACATAAAGACTTTTATTCACTGAAAATGAAGCATCTCTTGAAAACTGACTCTCGTCATCAAGGAGCACATTAGAGCAACAAACTGTACTTTTGACAGTTATTTTAATATTTAAATGTGGCATTTAAATAAACGAATATTTTGTCAAACACTTCAGTTTTAAACAGTTAATGTGTACTGCAACACTGAATAATTCACAGCCAACATTGTACTGCATAGTGAACAACACTGGCGTCAGGATAACTACCTAAGTCTTGTATTACCTGACTTTCCACTCATGAGACTATTGCTCTTCTGTTGGTTGAAACAATAGGGTAAAAATCTATCAGTTAGTTCTAAGTAAGATCTATTTTGCCCATTTTACAAAGCACTGTGTACTTTTAAAGGTCATGACTTGTTAAAGGTTAAAAAATAACATCACTGGAGGGACAAAGCCTTACCGGAAAGGCTTCTCTCCTCCAAGTGGTGAAGTAGCAGTACTCCAGCTCTTCCGGTACTCCTCTCGTTCAGCTTTCTTTTTCCGAAGAGGAGCTGGTATATAGGCAGTCTGGTTACTCTTATTCGGGAGATACTGGTTAAAAGGCACAACTGATTTAGGTTCGCCATACGACGTCCGCCTTGCAGACATATCATCTTTTTTCACGTCTGGCATCTTTCGGTGTGGCAAGTCAGACTCAGAGTCACTGCCTCTCCCTATTGAGAAATAAGAAAAAAGGGTAATTTTACCCTAACTTGTCAAAATGTAAACAAAATCCTTACTTAAAAATACAACAGTATTTTATAATAATGGGCCAAAATACTACAGTTTACTACAGCATCTTCAGACATTTCTTTAAAAATTATTATTTTTTTAATAAGGAAGACAACCCCTGTTGAAATAACACTTACCATAGAAAGTTCAAACACACACAGCTAGTTATAGTGGATTTATATTCCTATTTTAAATCAATCAGTGAAATACTGGCCACACTCCCTATAGTGGTAACAAATAGAAGTCTATTCCAGTGGCCTACCTTCTGCAGCCAAAAAACCAAAACTAATCTAATTCAAGAAAAAGTTCACAGCAAGTTACGTTTTCAAAGGCTTGATCAGTTGCCCAAAGTGATGGGTCAGTTTTACTCCAGTATCCAATGATATAACCCAGCGGTATAAACCCAAACTCAAGTTTACCTGACCTCAAGCTTGATCCTGGGTCTGCCACATCCCAACCCTAACCACAAGGCTACTGGTTATTCTGGGGCCAGGTTCAGTGCGGGGTCTGTGTCCCTCTCACTGTAATCCATCTTGGACCTGAGACACCTTTCCTGCTGAAAGTTTCAATGAAACTGGCATGTTCCAACAATAATTTTCAGTTTTGATAAATCTGCATTTTTCAACAAATAAAAGTTATGACAAAAAATTCCCAACCAGCTTTACTTTCTACAGGAATAGGCACATGCCATCTCTTTTCAGAATTATGCTAGGCCAATTTAGATGCCCACAGGCTAGGCATGACTTTGGGCAATTGTAAACCAAGAGACTCAGAGCATGTCTACACCGCAGCCCTACGTCAACCTATGTTAGGTCAACTTACAGCCACTGCAGTAATTACTGTGGTGGGTGATGTCCACATTTCCCTTCTTCTGTTGGTGGTGCGCATCCTCACCAGGAACGCTTCCACCAACTGAAGAGGGGCAGTGTGGGGGACTGAAAGCCCTCCACGTAGGCCCTCCCCCGCGCCCCGGTTTCTTACCTCACTGCTCCTGGCTGGGAGTGGAGGGGGCAGCTGCCCGGGCTTCTTGCCTCCCTGATCAGGGAGTGCGGAGCCTCTGGGCAGCAGCCCAGCTGGGAGCAGGGGACAGCCCGGCTCTACAGGCCCAGTTTTCTTGAGAAGACAGCCAACAGCCAATGTAAATAATGCAGTGTCTACACAGACACTGCATCACCTTAAGTGCACGAACGTAAGCCTTACACCTTTCATGGAGGTGGTGTTATTATGTCGGTGTAGTAAGGCACTTAAATTGGTGGGACAAAGGCTGTAGTGCAGGGGTGGGCAAACTTTTTGGCCCGAGGGCCACATCTGGGAATAGAAATTGTATGGCAGGCCATGAATGCTCACAAAATTGGGGTTGGGGTGCGGAAGGGAGTGAGAGCTCTGGTTGGGGGTGCGGACTCTGGGGTGGGGCTGGGGATGAGGAGTTTGGGGTGTAGGAGGGTGTTTTGGGCTGGGACCGAGGAGTTTAGAGGGCGGGAGAGGGGCCAGGGCTGGGGCAGAGGGTTGGGGTGCGGGAAGGGTTGTAGGCTCCGCCTGGGGGTGTGGGATCTGGGGTGGGGCTGGAGATGAGGAGTTTGGGATACAGGAGGGTGCTCTGGCCTAGGATCGAGGGGTTCAGAGGGCAGGAGGGGGATCAGGGCTGGGGCCGGGGGTTGGGGCATGGGGAGAGGCTCAGGGGTGCAGGCTACGGGTGGCACTTACTTCAAGTGGCTCCCGGAAGCAGCGGCATGTCCCTTCTCCGGCTCCTAAGCGGAGGCATGGTCAGGCAGCTCTGCACTCTGCCCCATCCACAGGCACAACCCTTGCAGCTCCCATTGGCGTGCCAGTGGGGGTCACTGGAGCAGGTAGGAGCCAGAGGGAGGCCATCCTGCTGCTTCCGGGGGCCGCGTGGAGCAGCCCCCAACCCTGCTGTCTGGATGGAGCACCAGAGCAGAGCAAGCCCCAGACCCCACGCCCCACGCCAGAGCTCGAGGGCTGATTTAAAATGGCCCGCGGGCTGTAGTTTGCCCACCCCTGCTGTAGGCTGTACATCGACATAATTAGGTCAACATAAGCTGCCTTATGTTGACCTAACTGTAGGCTAGACCAGGCCTCAGGTAATTTAATCAGTCCTCCTCCACTGGCTCTTGCGTCAATTACTTCAGTACAAAAGAACAGGAGCAGAAACTTAAGTCAAAGAGAAAAGGGTAAGGAGATAGAGAATTTGGAAATAGGAGAGAAGGAAGGGAAAGGCAGAAGTGGATGGGTCAGAATAATAGATAGTTTGGGGGATATTTTTTGGTGAAGAATGGGAACAAGCAGTGGAAAAATCAGAGCTTTGGGGTGTGTGGGAAGAGACAAGAAGCAAACAACAACGTTAAACAAAGCTGGGTGGCTGTTCCTGTGAATTAAACCTACCAATTTGCTTTGCTAGTATTCATGACCCCTTTTTTTAAAATCACATTCGCAGACAACACTAAGTGAACAAGATTTTAATGGCAAGAGTTTTCCTAGAAAACAAAAGAATCACAAACACCACACAACTATTATTTATAAGAGAGTTTGCAGTAGAAGTACTGTCAGTCATCTGGAAAAGCTCTTTCATAGCCAAACAATTGGCAAAATTATGTGTATTTACTACAGGGAACAGAAACAAAAACTCACACAATTTGGGTAAACGATCATACTGTATTTGCATAATCTAGCTCAACAATTAAGGATAACAAAGTCATAAACATCATGAGGAGCTTGTGGATAATTCAAAGAGAAAAGGAGCTTAAGTATGTCAGGAATGCTGTCTGCAAAGGACAGTTAATTCTGCTGCAATGCCGAATGTGTTTGCTTGGAGATGAACGAGGAAAGGGGAAGAGACCAGAGTCAGGAAGGACCATTAGACACACTACTGGAATCAGCCAGTCAGCTGCATTCAGAACATGCTTTTTTGCCAGGTGTTTTTTGCATTGGGCAGTTTTAGGTTAGTGGGAATTAGCATATGAATGCTCGCTAGTAACATATTAATGGAGCATTAGCATTTGTCAGCATGACATGTGGGGACGTGGCCATGGAATCCTAAATGTGAGAGTGGCGCTGAGTCTTGACAACTGCTTTATTTTTAGGTTGAGCAGGGCCACAACACAGGAATCAGCAGAGGAGGAGGTGCTTTAGTGCTTACTCTTATGCCATACTCTAATTTTACTCCAGTGGTTGGTTCTGTCCTGCATGCAGATGAGTCCTGAAAAAACAGACCCCGACCCACCAGCAGAGGCGCATGATGGCAGAAAGAATGTAAGCAATTCCTCCACATCCTCTCCTTGGTTGCTTCTAGGACTGCGGGTCCAGGTCTACAAGCATCACCATGTCTAGGTGACAGCATGTCAGGAGACAAAGGGCCTGTTTAACTTTCAATGATTTTTCCTGTCCGTTGTTTTGAGCTTAAATCTGCAATAAGCACTCAGCCTTGACCCCTATTTATAAAATTAATTTGCAGTCATCTTTGTGCTTTCTAGCAGCCCAAGATGGGAGCAAGAGGCAGCAGATCCTACCAGCCTGACCAGTATTCCCTGCTCCTACTGACATATAAAGCAGTGGTTCAAGGGACCTCTCTAGCTGCATGAAGGGAACAAGCAGCATGTCTAGGGCCACAGATGGCCAAGTAAGGGATTTTATTTATTTGTGTGCAAGGGGTAGCTGTACCCTTATGTCTGTCAGTCTGTCTATAGTTCTACTATAAAATTTAAAAGACTACTAAATATTCTTCTCTGTTTCTTCTTGCAGAGTCCAGTGCCTGGGTGAGGACATCAAGTCAACTCCCAAATGGAGATGCTAACCATAGGCCCTGTTAGTGCAACTGCTTACTGGTTCTAGTTAACATGTTTTAATGGTGTAAGAACTGACTGCCAGCTTTAACCAGCACAGAGTTTCCAATACCACAGGGAATCTCAGCTGGCCAGTTAGGGTCAGAACCATTTAGGGTCAGAACCAATTTCTTTTGTGCTGCCCAAGAGGAGTGAAGGGACTGGATCTTACCTCAGAATCTGCCCCCCTTCCCCTTTTTCTATAAACGAACATTATTATTTTTAATAGTGAGGATGATTGAATAGAAATGATGGATTTGGAGAACATACTATCCAGGCAATTACATCATGCTTATCACAGAAGTAACTGAGCAGATGGCCTAGAGCATTCTGTGAGGAAGGCTGAAGAAAATGCATTTCTGTCCTAGAAGCTTTGAGCTGGAATCAAGCTTAAGACAAGCTCTAAGTCAACTTCCTAGAGGACACTTGCGCATATTCACAGTACCCCATACTGACACAACTGGACACATACAGAGAGCAAAGACTGAAGCAGCAGCCATGCTGAAGGTCAGGAGCTACATGCCCTGGCTGAGGGGGGTGTGTGTGTGCAAGGACAACTATCAAGTCACTCAGTTTCTTAAATGCTGAATACCTTGCCAAGAATTGCCATAACTGTATTTTCATAAGACTGCACTTCAAAACTCTCCTAGGTATCAACAATTTCCAAGAGGTTTCCTTTTTCTCTTAGACAACTAGTTTAATTGAAAAAAATCAAATGCCATATAATATTTCCTCCCTTTTGCATTCTTAGTTCTTGCTTCAGCCTAGTTTATGAGCTGATGTGTGTCTGCACACTGTGTCTGCTACCCTGTAACCCAGAGAAAAACCATGTCATAAATTACACTTGTATGGTATAACTCATTTTACGATACTACATTATAGTAACTGAGGTAGACTTCAAATAAATTGCTGGCAAAATTATCTAAAGACCCAAGAAACAAAAATCTGTATTCAAAGAAAGTTTCTTTTACCAATTCACAGGAGACATCATGATTCAGAAATTGCATCCAGCTTTTGAATGGCTGCCTTTGCACTGAAAGCACAGGGTGACACATTCAATGTTTTGCATGCATCTTGTTGTGACCGAAACTTACCATCGCTGCTTCCTCTGAGCACTACATCTGGAGACGGTGTCTGCTGTGAGCGGGAACCAAATGAATCCAGACTGTCAAAGGAATCATCTCTGCCGTGGCGAGGGGGGGAAAGGGAATCGCTGCGTTCAGAGTCCCAACAATCAATATAACCACTGTCACGAATGTTGCGTTTGGGGCTCTCAATGTCTTCGGTTTCCTACATGGAAATACAGACGGTACCTCTTCAAAGAAGTCAGTGACACAAAAATGAGATCCACTATGCATCTGAGTGCAAAGTATCTTTCTAATGCACCAAAATCTCTTCCCTCAATCATAGCTTTTTTTTTTTTTTTTGCTTTCAAATCAAAAGCATGAAATTGCAATAAAACCTCATTTCATACTACTTAAGAGGAACACACATGCTTTGGATTAAAATAGTTATTTGAAATACAGTTGCAATAGGCAGGTTAATAAAACTATCAACATTGAAATAACCCTGAAATTTGACTGGTCTTCCATAGTCCATAGCACACTGGTAAAGGCATTATAAATTTGACCTCATGGCGGAGTTGGGGATAAGCTCACTATTCTCCAGATTAATTCCCCCAATCTATCTATTGTATCTGGTGGGGACACCAGCAGGCAGCATTTGTTGTTGCCGCCTCAGCTTGGCAAAATAATGAAGCAGCGTGTCCCAGCCTCCCTGTGCCTTGAAGAGAAATTCCTGTTATGAAAGAGGGATGTCTTTCTAAAGCAGTCAGCAATGAAAAATATGCAAAATGCTTTTCCTGACGCCTCAGAAGAATTCAGCCGTGCTCTTTACTCTTTGCCAGCTCCTGGCTCTGGGGGATATAAAAGCACTTGTAGCTGACCCACATGTTCAGAGCAGTGAGAACAATGGTTGTCTTTGACAGCCCTGTGATTATAAATTCTTTCCAGAGCAAGCAGAACATACTAAAACTCTGAAACTCCAGCAGAGGGAAAGGTCAATGGAAGCCATCCTCACCCTTGCATTATAAGAAATCCCTTGTTTCAGCCAGTTTCTTAACATTAATTACAATAGCACAGGCTGAGAAAAGCAAAAATAACTACCACTCTTACTCAAAAGATAAACCTCTTTGTTTTTTTTCTCCGCCAGACTGTCACTGAAAAACTCAAGAGATGTGGATGACATCATCAGACTGATATTTTTCAGTCTGAAAAGATTGGAATGTGAAACTTTTTCCTGACACACTTAAATATTAATTTTAAACTTTCCAATTAAAAAAACACCTATGGGCTACAGATAGTTGGAGCTCAATAACTGAGTGGAGAATAGCTCCCACTGCCCTCCTCAGCTACTGTTGTCATTATTAGTATTGCCAGTGATCAGATCAATCAACATCATGGTACAATAAAGTCAACAACCTCCTTAGCAAAGGAGAATTACGGCAAAAAGAGCAGCTGAGAAAGGGAGCATCATAATATCAATCAAAAAGTTAAATATTCAAAGGGAGAGGCTCAGAGGGAAAAGGAAAGATTAGAAACTTGTGTCTTGTAGACTTTCCAAGACGATGACTTAATTAGAGCCACTAAATAACTTGCTGCCAAAATACCACAGTATGTCCAGCACCAAAGGTTCCTTAAGGCCAAGCAAAATCACAGTAATGCCAATAGTCACAGAATACATAAACTGGGATTATACACAAATGTTGTTTTATTTTTTAATTTAAAATATGTTAACAAGTAGTAATTTAATTCTATGTGTTTTTCCTCCCTTATCCTTGTTTAGGAATGGTATATATCTATATATAGATATAGATCACACACACACACAATTCAACATACACCACCTCTGTCTTCCTAAAATCTTTATTAAGTATATAGCTCTAAGAACAAAGATTACATCCTTTCAAAATCCTCTTTGCCCTTTTCTTCAAAACTATCTGAAATCTTTTCCAAATCCAGATTCAGAAAAAACTCCCCATCTCTACATACCAATCAGCTATATTCAATCCTCTGGCAGACTTCCATTTTCTTAAAATAATATGTTTGAAAGTCATGGAAATGCTCAATAGCAAGAGGGATAGAAATCAGATGAACTATTCAAAAGTACAGGCTGAAAAAAACATTCTTCAACTGTTTCATGCTTTAAAACACTGAATGAAGTGTGAATGAACGGATTCCAAAATTCCCTATTTTAGTAACCTGTTAACTTTAATTTAGTTTCCTTTTTAATTACTGGTGGCTACAGGTAAAAGTAGGGAAGTGTGCAAGAGATGGCACAATAGACTGTAGTAATTCTTTTGTAAACATGTACTATTTAGCCTTCCCATTGGCACCTCATTCACCCAAGATTACTGTTACTGGCTATGACAGATAGACTTGCTTAATTTTGAGTGTTTGTTATGTACTGGATAGAAACCACTCTAAGTATCATTTACATCTGTACTGTGACACTTTCTGAAAAGATAATCCCATAGCATACCATAATGCACTGGTCTATCATGCCCATCTGGTAAAAATCAATGTATAACCTTGCGGTAGTAAAAGTAGATACAACTGCCAAATTTAAAACCTATTTCCCAGCCACTTTTATATATTCCTTTTCAAACTACTGAAAATATTCAAAGTGCACTGTGGATTAATGGTTTAAATTTTTCAGATTGAAAACTGGATGAGTGTGCAGTAAAGTAGATTAAAACAAAATTAAAAACTGAATGAATAAAGTTAAAAAAGGATTTCAATGGAGGTACTACTAGCACATACTGAAATGTCACTTGTTGTCAATGCCATTACTAAATTCAATGGAACTGTGCCAGCATAACCCTTCATTTATAAAGAAGTGCTCTCACCATCCAGCCTAAGTTAAAGCAACGGAGTGCTGCACAACATAGTTAAAATGTTCTAAATTACAACAAACCTCTTAAAATTTAACCACAAAATAACTTCAGGAGAATTGATATGGGGCATAAAGGAGGAGTGGGAAGGCAAGGTAAGAAATACAGGACTAGCAACAGTCATAATAGTACCAACCAACCAATATAGTTGTTTACTACACTGAAAAGTTTATGATGATAGAAACATTCAAATATTAGGAGACTCCCTTCATTGGCTCCTTCTCCTCCACTGTAGCAAATTCAAGTTTCTTGTTCTTGTCTTTGACCTACTGAATTCTGCCCTCTCCCTTATCATCTCTGTGACGAAGTTGAGGATTTTTGTAGTGTTTTACATGAATAGCGTGTGCGCACCTCAGTTTCCCTGTGTGCTGCATGTTTAACAAGGTGGTGGGAGAGGGTTTATTGTTGCAGGGAACCAGGTGTGACCTCGTCCTAGCAGCCGGGACCCCCAGACAAAGGCCTGGAGACAGGGAATCCTAACAACTGGTGACCTCATGACTAAGAGGCCCACCCCAGCTTGGCAGTCAGCGGGTTCTGGCCAGTGGGAGGACAAAGGGCTGAGGAGAGAGGACCCCGGTGACTTGACCAACCAGTTCCAGCCAGAGGGGAACAAAGGACGGAAGAGAGAGCCTAGTGACCAGTTTATCTGGGACGGAACACAAGGGACGGGGAGGAGCTGTTGGGGCCGGTGATATCGATGCCCAGCTGGAAAGGGCAGGGTCTCGGGACTGAAGAAAGACAGCAGGCAGAGCCCACCTAAATGCAGGAGAGACTCAGCCCTGGTCTACACTAGGAGTTGAGGTCGAATTTAGTAGCGTTAAATCGATTTAACCCTGCACCCGTCCACATGAAGAAGCCCTTTTTTTCGACTTAAAGGGCTCTTAAAATCGATTTCCTTACTCCACCCCTGACAAGGGGATTAGTGCGGAAATCGGCCTTGCTGGGTCGAATTTGGGGTACTGTGGACACAATTAGACAGTATTGGCCTCCGGGAGCTATCCCAGAGTGCTTCATTGTGGCCACTCTGGACAGCACTCTCAACTCAGATGCACTGGCCAGGTAGACAGGAAAAGGCCCGCAAACTTTTGAATTTCAATTTCCTGTTTGGTCAGCGTGGCAAGTTGCAGGTGACCATGCAGAGCTCTTCAGCAGAGGTGACCATGCAGAGCTCATCAGCAGAGGTGACCATGATGGAGTCCCAGAATCGCAAAAGAACTCCAGCATGGACTGAACGGGAGGTACGGGATCTGATCACTGTATGGGGAGAGGAATCCGTGCTATCAGAACTACGTTCCAGTTTTCGAAATGCCAAAACATTGGTCAAAATCTCCCAGGGCATGAAGGACAGAGGCCATAACAGGGACCCGAAGCAGTGCCGCGTGAAACTTAAGGAGCTGAGGCAAGCCTACCAGAAAACCAGAGAGGCGAACGGCTGCTCCGGGTCAGAGCCCCAAACATGCCGCTTCTATGATGAGCTGCATGCCATTTTAGGGGGTTCAGCCACCACTACCCCAGCCATGTTGTTTGACTCCTTCAATGGAGATGGAGGCAACACGGAAGCAGGTTTTGGGGACCAGGAAGATTATGATGATGAGGTTGCAGATAGCTCACAGCAAGCAAGCGGAAAAACCGGTTTTCCCAACAGCCAGGAACTATTTCTCACCCTGGATCTGGAGCCAGTACCCCCCGGAACCCACCCAAGACTGCCTCCCGAACCCGCCAGGTGGAGAAGGGAGCTCCGGTGAGTGTACCTTTTAAAATAGTATACATGGTTTAAAAGCAAGCATGTTTAATCATTAATTTGCCCTGGCATTCGCGGCTCTCCTGGATGGACTCCCAAAGCATTTGTAAAAGGTTTCTGGGGAGGGCAGCCTTATTCCGTCCACCATGGTAGGACACTTTACCACTCCAGGCCAGTAGCACGTACTCGGGAATCATTGTAGAAAAAGCATTGCAGTGTACGTTTGCTGGCATTCAAACAACATCCGTTCTTTATCTCTCTGTGTTATCCACAGGAGAGTGATATCATTCATGGTCACCTGGTTGAAATAGGGTGCTTTTCTTAAGGGGACATTCAGAGGTGTCCGTTCCTGCTGGGCTGTTTGCCTATGGCTGAACAGAAATGTTCCCCGCTGTTAGACACGGGGAGGGGGCAGGGGCTAGCCACGTGGTGGGGGGAGGCAAAATGTGACCTTGGAACGAAAGCACATATGCTATGAATGTAATATTAACAGCAAGGTTTACTGTGGAAGAGTGCACCCATTGTTCTATAAAATGTGTCTTTTTAAATACCACTGTCCCTTTTTTTTCCTCCACCAGCTGCATGTGTTTCAAGGAT